AAGTAATGAATAAATTCCTAGAAAACATTCAAACTACCAAGACTGAATCATGAAAAAACAGAAAATCTGAGCAGACCAATTATTAGTACGGAGATTGAATCAGTACTCAAAAACCTCCCGACAAACAAAAGTCCAGGACAAGATGGCTTCACTAGTGAATTCTAACAAACAATTGAAGAATAATTAATACCAATCCTTTTCAATACCAATCCTTTTCAAAATATTCCAAAAAACAGAAGAGGAAGGAACACTTGCAAACTCATTTTATGAGGCCAGCATTATGCTGATACCAAAACCTGACAAGGACACCACAAGGAAAAAAAATATCACAGGCCAATAACCCTGATGAAGATAGATGCAAAAGTCCTCAACACAATATTAGCAAACTGAATTCAACAATATATTAAAAATATCATACACCATGATAAAGTGACATTTATTCCATGGATGCAAAGATGGTTCAACATCTGCCAATCAATCAATGTGATACACCGCATTAATAAAATGAAGAAGTAAAATCATATGATCATGTCAGTAGATGCAGAAAGAGCATCTGACAAAATTCAACACTCATTTATGATAAAAATTCTTAATAAAGTGGGTATAAAGGAAATGTACCTCAACATAAGGAAGGCCAAATATAACAAGCCCATAGCTAACACCATACTCAATGCTGACAAGCTTTTCCTCTAAGAACAGGAACAAGACAAGGATGCCTACTCTTGCCATTTTTATTCAAATAGTATTGGAAGTCATAGCCAGAGAAATTTGGAAAGAAGATGGAAAACTGTCACTATTTGCAGATGACATGATATTATATGAGAAAACCCTAAAGATTCCACCAAAGAACTGTTACTATTAATAAACAAATTCAGTAAAGTTGTAGAATACAAAATAAAAATACAAAAATCTGTTGTGTTTCTATATACTAATAATGAACTATAGGAAAGAGAAATTAAGAAAACAATCCCATTTACAAGTACATCAAAAAGAATAAAATACCTAGGAATAAATTTAACCAAGGAAGTGAAAGACCTGTACACTGAAAAGTAAGACATTGATGAAAGAAATTGAAAATGATACAAATAAATGGAAAGATATTCTGTGCTCATGGATTGGAAGAACTAATATTGTAAAAATTTCCATACTACCCAAAGCAATCTACACGTGATCCCTATGAAAATTTCAATGGCATTTTTCACAGAAATAGAACACACAGTCCTAAACTTTGTATGAAATCACAAAAGACTATGAACAGCCAAAACAATCTTGGGAAAGAAGAACAAAGCTGGAAGCACCATGCTTTCTGATTTCAAACTATGTTACAAAGCTACAGTAACAAAAACAGTATGCTACTGGCATAAAAACAGGGGCCAGCCCCATGGCTGAGTGGTTAAGTGCCCATGCTCCACTTTCGCGGCCCAGGGTTTCACCAGTTCAGATCCTGGGCATGGACATGGCACTGCTCATCAGGCCATGTTGAGGCAGCATCCCACATGCCACAACTAGAAGGACCCACAACTAAAAACATATATACAACTATATACTGGGGGGATTTGGGGAGAAAGAGCAGAAGAAAAGAAAAATGATTGGCAACAGTTGTTACTTCAGGTGCCAACGTTTAAACAAAACAAAAAAACCCCCAGTATGCTACTGGCATAAAAACAGACATACAGATTGATGGTAAAGAATAGAAAGTCCAGAAATAAGCCATGCATATATAGTCAGTTAATTTATGACAGAGGAGCCAAGAATATACAAGGGGGAAAGAACAGTCTCTTCAATAAACGGTGTTGGGAAAACTGGACAGCCACAAGCAAAAGAATGAAACTGGACCACTATCTTCCACCATACACAAAAATCAACTCAAAATGGATTAAAGACTTGAAAACAATACCTGAAACCACAAGACTCCTAGAAGAAAACATAGGTGGTAAGCTCCTTGACATAGATCTTGACGATGAGTTTTTGGATTTGACATCAAAAGCAAAGACAACAGAAGCAAAAATAATCAAGTGGGGCTACATCAAACTAAAAAGCTTCTGCAGAGTAAAGGAAACCATCAACAAAATGAAAAGGCAACCTACCAGATGGGATAAAATATTTGCAAATCATATATCTGATAAGGGGTTAATTTCCAAAATACATAAAGAACTCACACAACGCAATAGCAAAAAAAAACTGACTTAAAAATGGGCAGAGGATTTGAATAGACATTTTTCCAAAGCAGCTACACAGATGACCAACAGATTCATGAAAAAGTGCTCAATATCAGTAATCATCAGAGAAATGCAAAGCAAAACCACAATAAAATACCACGTCACATCTGTTAGAATGCCTATTATCAAAAAGACAAGAAATACCAAGTATGTGGAGAAAAGGGAACCCTTGTGCACTGGTGTTGGGAATATAAATTGGTGCAGCCACTATGGAAAACGGCATAGAGATTCCCCAAAAAATTAAAAATAGAACTACCATATGATCCAGAAATTCCACTTCTGGGTATCTATTCGAAGGAAACGAAAACATTAACAAAAAGATATATGCTCCCCCATGTTCAGTGCAGTATTATTTACAATAGCCAAGGTATGGAAGCAACCTAAGTGTCTATCAATGGATGAATGGGTAAAGAAAATGTGGTGTGTGTATATATATACATATATATATATATGTATATATATACACACAATGGAATATTATTATTCAGTCATAAAAAAGAAGGATGTCTTGCCATTTTACAACAACATGGAAGGAACCTGAGGGCGTTATTCTAAGTGAAATAAGTCAGACAGAGAAAGGCAAATACCGTATGATCTCATTTATATGTGGAATCTAAAACAGAAAAAAAACCCACATAGATAAGAAAACAGACTGGTAGTTGCCAGAGGCAGGGGGTGGATTCAGGTGGGGAAAACTGATGACACTGTCAAGAGAGTAAAAGGACAAGCCACAGACTAGGAAAAAATATTTGTACATCACACATTTGATAAATGACTTAGAGTATAAAAAGAATTCTCAATACTCAATGAGAAAACAACAACCTAATTTAACGTTACCAAAGAAGATACACGGATGGCAAAAAAAGCCCATAAAATATGCTCAACATCATTAACCTTCTGGGAAATGCAAATTAAAACTACAGTGAGAGGGGCCAGCCCAGTGGCGGAGCAGTGAAGTTCTCTGGTTCTGCTTTGGCAGCCAGGGGTTCACTGGTTCCAATCCTGGGTGTGCACCTATGCACTGCTTGTCAAACCACGCTGTGGCAGGTGTCCCATCTATAAAGTAGAGGAAGATAGGCACAGATGTTAGCTCAGGGCCAGTCTTCCTCAGCAAAAAGAGGATTGGTAGCAGATGTTAGCTCAGCGCTAATCTTCCTCAAAAAAATTTAAAAATTTAAAAAACTACAGTGAGAGACTACCTCACACCTTTTAAAATGGCTAAAATTTAAAAGGCAAGCAATCCAAGTGCTGGTGAGGATGTTGATCAACTCAATCTCTCATCCACTGCTGGTGGGAATATAAAATGGTACAACTGCTTTGGAAGACATTTTGGCAATTTCTTAAAACATTTAACATACATCTACCATGTGACCTACACATTCTACTCACAGAAATTTATCCAGGAAAAATGAAAGTGTATGTTCATACAAAGACTCATACACTAATGTTCACAGTAGCTTAATTTGTAAAAAAAAAAAACCCTAAAAACAACGTAAATGTCCATCAATAGAAGAAGGGATAAACAAACTGTTTATATCCACACAATGGAATACTACTCAGCAACAAAATCAATAAATACATGCAACAATGTGGATGACTCTAAAGATAATTACGCAGAGTGAAAGAAGCCAGACAAAAAGGTACCCATGTATGATTTTATTTCCATAAAATTCTGGGAAATGCAAACTTATCTCTAGAGACAGAAAACAGAGAAGTGGTTGCCTTGGGATGGGGAGCACAGGAGGGAGGGATCAGACACGGGGAAGAGGAAGCTTTTGGGGATCATGGATATGTTCACTATCTTGACTGAAGTGATGGTTCCATAGGCACGTACACAGATCAAAACTTATAAAACTGTACACTTTAAATATGTACAGTTTATTGTACGTCAATTCCACCTCAAAAAACATGTTTAAAGTGGAACAGATATAATATTTATAAAATATATGTAGGGTATAACACAATGAAACAACAGAACACTCTCTCTATCCATTACCCAATTTAAAAACATAAATGTTACCAATATTTTTGAAAATTTCTGTCTTCCCTGACCACCCTAAAGCACGGCCTTTCTTGTTAAGAACACATGGATGTTTCAAACTGTTTTCTGAATACTTTAGGTTCCCAAACGTGGATATTCTGCGGGACTATTTTTATCTAAATTAGCCGAGTAATGCGGTGGTTGGGCACAATTCGAAGCTGAAACTTGCCATTTAAAAGATGAGCAGCCCAAAACAGTGACTGAAAAGCAATCCTGTTTTTGAATTACGAACGTCTGCGAGCCTCAGCCCACAAAGGAAAAGGAGGAATTCTTCTTAACTGTAGCCAGGCAGGCATGCCCTCTCACTTCCTTTTAACGAACCGGTCACAGGAGTGGGATCTGGGGAGGAGGGGAGCACCCTGTAGAAAAGAGGCTTTGGCAGCGGTTTTCTAGGGTGGTTTTAACCAGGCTCCACCCCTGGAACTTGTTTTCTTGGCAGAGGTCACTGGAAGACCCGAACAGGACGAAGTGCACTGTGCATGTAAAACTACAGCAGTATCTCCACACTCACAGATGGAGACGCAGGAACAGATTTGGAATAAGAGATTGTAGTCAACTTCTTGCTAAGGAAAAGCTGGGAAGCTTCTCCTGTTGCTTTATGAAAACTAAGCTATCGTCACCTTTTGCCAAAGAGCTATTCATTGGGCAAAACGGGCCTCTTGCCCATTATTTTACTTCAGCTGCGTCTTTCCAGCACAGCATGTTCTTATTTCCGCAGCACCTGATTGGCTGGGGAGTGTGGCCAGAAGCCTACCCCCTGCACTTAAAGCCATCAGGTCTCTAACTGGCCATCTGTTTTTTTTCTTGTCTGAGTGATGGCGCTTACCATCTTTATACTCCAGCTGGCAGTTTACATCCTGGCATTTCCCATATACCTGCTGAACTTTCTGGGCTTGTGGAATAGGATATGTAAAATATGGTTCCCCCGCTTCTTGGAGAGGTTCACGGTGATGTACAACGAACAGATGGCCAGCAAGAAGCGGGAGCTCTTCAGCAACCTGCAGGAGTTTGTGGGATCCTCCGGGAAGCTCTCCCTGCTGGAAGTGGGCTGTGGCACCGGGGCCAACTTCAAGTACTACCCGCCTGGGTGCAGGGTGACCTGTATTGACCCCAACCCCAACTTTGAGAAGTTCTTGATCAAGAGCGTTGCCGAGAACCGACATGTGCAGTTCGAGCGCTTTGTGGTGGCTGCCGGGGAGAACATGCACCAGGTGGCCGATGGCTCCGCGGACGCGGTGGTCTGCACCCTGGTCCTGTGCTCTGTGGAGAACCAGGAGCAAATCCTCCAGGAAGTGCGCAGGGTGCTGAGGCCGGTGAGTGACAGGGTATGAGGAGGACCGGATAAGTGAGAACCTCTATCACCAAGGGCAGTCCACTTTCAGGTGGACCAAATATTCTAAAGTAACTACTAGAGAAGGCACTGTTGAACAACAACAAAAAAATGTTAGAGTGGGAAAGAGGCTATAAAGGGAAAGATTGATAAATCTGAATACATAAAATTTTAAAACTCCTGCAGAGACTATAAACAAAGTTAAAGTACAAAAACAAACTTGGAAACAGTATTTGGCAGGGATGATAGACAAAAGGTGAACTCCCTTCATATAACAGACATTATAAATCAATAGATCAATAAGATTTTCTAAATCAATAAAAAACCACAAGAGAAAAATAAGCAAAGAGCAGGAACAGAAATATAAATAACAATAGCTAATTATATGATAAAAATGTTCAACCTTACTCACGATGAAAGATCAAATGAAAACAACAAACTAATTCTACCTACTGTACTGTCAGAGACTTTAAAAGGCAATGTGATATTGGAGTGGGACTGGGGGATTGGACGCCCCCATATACGTTGGAGGAAGTGCCCTCTTTGGAAGGCAATTTGATAAGATCAAAATTTAAAGTGCAAATTCTCTTTTATCTAGCAGGAATTTATCTGATAGCTATACTGCACAAATGTGCAAAAACTCATCCATATGAAAAGATATTCATGACAGTGTCTGTTATAGTACAAATTGGAAATAACCCAAATGTGAATCAATAGCAAGCTGTTCAAGTAAATGGTCACATAATATAAAGGAATTCTGTTAAAAAGAACAAGGAAGAGTTATCTATGTTGATATGAAAAAATCTCCCAGAGATAGTGTCAAATGAAAAAAAGCAATCAAAGCATGGGAATATTATGTAGAGTATAAGCCCATTTGTGTGAGGGGAAAGAATATATGCCTATATTGTATATGTTATTGGGAATGACAGATAAGAAGCTAACAGTGCTCACCTCTCGGGAAGGGACTTGGATACAGGGAAGAACAACTTTTCATTTTATACCTTTCTGTATAGTTTGAAATTCCTTATACCTGTATGTAATTTTCACATATTACCTTTATCATTTTTTTTAAAACTAGTTTATAATAATTTTAGTCTAAATGTAGTTGAACATAAATAAAGTATGGCTATCTTAACATTCGAATTTACTATTCTAAGAGAAAAGGCGTTCTATAATCCCCAGTTTTATTTCCAATAGAGGAAGTTCCTCAGGAGGATAAGGACTTGGAGGTAGGGTGTTGAGGCAATAATACAATTCTGCCTTTGGCTCAAGGACAGGCCAACATCAAAGCAGTAAATGAAAAAGGTCTGATTGTTCTTCCCAAATGCTGGGTTCTCGTATCCTAAGACTGGGCACTAACGGGGCACACTTACTAGATGTTTTGTTTACCGTGTTTCTAAGCTCACAACACCCCTGCAAAGCAAGTAATTATTTTCTCCATTTTATAGCCCTGGTAAGACTCCTAAGGGGATCATATTCTTGGTAGTCTTCCTTAGCTCCTGCAAAGCACCCGCTCTCTGCTGAATGTAACCACGAGCTTTATGACATTCTCATTTAAGCCTCACAGCAGTCCTGTGAAGCAGGTATTGTCTTCATGTTGGGTTGAGCAAACAGACTCAGAGAGGTTAAGACACTTACTCAAAGTCCACAGCTAGAAGGTCTGACTTTCTGTTTTTTTTTCCTTAAGATTGGCACCTGAGCTAATATCTGTTGCCAATCTTCTTTTTTTTTTTTCTTTCCTTGTTCTTCTCCCCAAAGCACTCCCAGGACATAGTCGTATGTACTAGCTGTAAATCTTTCTTGTTGTGCTATGTGGGATGCTGCCTCAGCATGGCCTGATGAGCAGTGCCATGTCCACACCCAGGATCGGAACCTGCAAAACCCTGGGCCTCTGAAGTGGAGCCTGGGAACGGAGGCGGCCCTGCTGACTTTCTTTAATGTAAATATTCTTATCACTGCACCAGTACTTATCACTGGGCCTTTTTATCTCTCTGATTCAGCCTTTCTACCACTTTCGCTGACTGTTCTTCCTCTGCCCATCCCTTAAACACTGGAGTTTCTTTTTTGGCTCTCATTTCACTTATCTACATCCCCTAGGCGATCTCATGCACCCCCAAGGTTTTCACTTACCACGCATACACAGATGGTTTCCAAATCAAAATATCTAGCCTGGATCTATCTCTAACTCCAGGCTGCATATCTAGCTGTTTACTTGATAGTCATCTGAATGACTGACAAAGATTTCTAGGTTCACCTGTGCTAACTCAGAGGGCAAACAATGACCTCGCCAAACCCGGGTCTCCTCCCTACTCTCCTGTCCTACTCTATGGAAATTCTCTTTTTTTTTTTGTTCAATCATGACATTCCAAGTTTTCCACTCCTGAATACAGGTCTTATACTTACCCATGGGATTTGGGAGAACTTTATCTCTAAACTCCCTGCCTGGGATAGCCAAGATTAGGGTAGCTACAAGAGGCCAAGAACAGTGGGACAGTCACTACAGGTTTTCGAGGTGACTGTCAGGTCCTTTTCCCCCTACTCTCCTCAGAGGTAGACAGGTAGAAAACTTCCAAAGACTCCCTAATAATGTGTAGCCTCTATTGTGTCTATACTTGACCTATATTTATATAGGACTGCCCTGGATGAAAGTAGCAGTTGTTCATACTTACATGACAGTTATTTACACACAGTATCCACTGATTGCTTAAGTAATCATATCATTTACATCCTTGTGACAATGGTCCAAAAAGATAAGACATGGTTATTTCATCTCAGGCAGTGCATGGGGTGGATTCAGACTCTCCCACAGGTTTGCAAAGCAGAGCCTGAGAGCTATTATCAGATGAATTAAAAGATTTTTCTTAAAAATAAAAGAAGTAGAAGTAAAAAAAAAAAAAAGTAAATAAAAGGCAAACAACAAACTGGGGAAAACATTTGTAATATACATAATCTGATGATACTAAAAGCCCTTACTAGTCAGTAAGAAAAAAACCAGCACCCTATTAGAAAACTGAAAAAGGATATGACAGACAAATCAGAAAAGAACAAATCTTTTTTAAATTTAAACAATAAAGTTTAGTAAAAGATGTTATATCTCTTAAGAATATCAAAGATATACATATTATTGAAAATGAAATACCATTTTACCTATCAAGTTCACAAAGATGCAGGGAAAAAAAGTATTGATGAGAGTTTACTGGAAACAGGCACTCACTTCCATTGCTGGTATGCAGGCAAATTTGCTATAACTTTTCCAAAGGGCAATTTGACAACCTGTACCAACAGCTTTAAAAAGGTACAGAGTTTTGACTCAGTAGTTCCACTTTTTAGCAAGTTATTTGGAAATAATTAGAGATGGTCACAAAGATTTATGGATAAGGATGTTCACTGTTACAGTATTTTTAACAGAGAAAAATTGCAAATAACCTAAATGAGAACGGTTAAATAACAGATGGTACCTTCAGTGGTATGAAATACTGTGTACAGATTTTTTAAATGTTTTAGAAAAACTAAAGCAGGTTACAAAGCAGAATGTATATTCCAATTCTAGTTTTAGGGGAAAAAGTACCTATTCCTATAGAAGTACACACAAAATCCTAACAGCAGTTATCTCAAGGTGCTAAAATGGTGGGTGATTATTTTTCTTCTTAAATTTTTCTGTATTTTCTAAATTTTCTAAAAGAAACATACCAGGGAGGCAGTATTGCTAGCATCTGGAGCCAGAACACGAAGGTTCAAAACCTGATTCTGACATTTATCAGCTGTGTGACCTTGGGCAAGTTGCTTATTTTCTGTGACTCATTTTCCTCATCTTTAAAAATAGGAATCATAGTAAGTAGTATTATAAACTTATTTGGTAAGTTTATTGTGAGGATTAAGTGAGTTTACACGTGATTGGCATTAAGGATAGCACCTTGCATGCGGTAACTGCTTTAAGTTCTAGCTATTCTTATGTATTACTTTCACGGTCAGAAAATATAGTGTCAATTGCTTGAGAGTGGCAGCTCTGTATAAAATCTGACAGAAGGTGAAACCATTGACCAAAATGGTGTCTTATTAAATTTTAATTTATCCATGTCTTCTCATGAAGTTGGCCTCTGGGGCCACTGAAAGCTGAAACTTCAATCATCTTATAAATCTATTTTCCCAAAACTAAAATCCTCAAAAGTTTTCTTTTTTTTTCTTTCTCAGGGAGGGGCTTTTTATTTCATGGAGCATGTAGCAGCTGAGCGTTCAACCTGGAATTACTTCTGGCAACAGGTCTTGCATCCTGTCTGGTACCTTGTGTTTGATGGGTGCACCCTAACCAGAGAGACCTGGAAGGCCCTAGAGAGGGCCAACTTCTCTAAGCTGAAGATGCAGCACTTACAGGCCCCGCTGTCCTGGGAGCTGCTGCGCCCTCACATCTATGGATATGCTGTGAAATAGCGCGTGTGGAGAGTGGAGAGCTGAATGACCCAAATAACTTCAGGCTTCAGTTTTACACTTAAAATAACTAATAGGGAGAGGAGAAACCTTTTTTTAGGTAAGGTGAATTTCATCCTTAAAAGTTTATGTTATACCCTACTTAGCCATTTTCTATTGTCTCCCAGAGAATCAAAAACAAAACAAAACAAGCCAGCTTTGAACTCTCCCTTAAAAGGAAACAGTGGGCTTTCATAATTGAAATCTACCATTAGCCCCAAACCTTAGTTTATTCAGTAACTTCAAAAGTTTTCCAACTGTCTTATTTATATTGTTTTACCCAACAGATTTTAATTTTACCCCCTCTCTGAGAGCTTTGTGCTAATAAGCAGTTAAATCACTCGAAGACTTTAAAAAGGGAGAAGTGAAAAAAATCTCAATAATTCATAAACTGAATGAAGAAATATGAACTAGTTGAAAATCCAAATCTAAATGGCACAGATTTTTTGAAAAAGAAATCTGATCTATTTGTTCTTAGTATCACCAGGCTGGCTTTCAAAATTAAAGTACCATGCTACCACGCCTAGTTCTGCATGGCTTTTATGCCAGTATTCCTTTAAAGTGTATTTTCCTGCACATTCTAGTCTTCAATTCTTAAGATGAAGAGGGTACTTGACACTTTAGTATATCCATAAAACTATTTGAGGCAGTTAAGGTTCTTGGGTTCCTTTCCGTTATTATCTAGCATATACTCCTCTGAACATAGTAAGTTGCAGGCAAAGAAAAGGCGACTGTAATTAGGAAAACCTTGTATAATTCGGCACACTTTGTAAGAGTCCCTGTGAGTCACTAAAGAAGTAGACAGGTATGTTTTGGATGATTCTGATCAAATTTTCACTGCTGTTCCAAGATGCTTTCTTTGTTCCTTGCAACCATGGAAACCTCTGAAAATCATCACAAGTGCTTTGAAAACAAGCATTAGGTTGTTCAGTCAGAGGGCTTAAGAATAAAAGTTTCAGCAATAGTGTGTATGTATTCTAATAAATTTAGTGTATTTTCTGAGATTTTGCAAAGAGATGTTTAAACATCAAATCAATCAATTCACATGCATTTTAGGAATGGAAATAAAATAAATGGTTTTTATCTTTGCTGGCTTGGTTTCATTTTTCTTAATGTCTCTGGGAGGGCTTTCCTTCATTGTGGAAAAACAAGCTCTTTGAACATACAGATTTTTCTTTCTAAAGCCAGGTAACAATAAACACAGCTAGGTTTTAGAAAAAGCAATTTTGGAAGGATCAGAATGAGTTCTGAAAACTTCAAGTCGAAAGATCCCATTTGTGAAATCCACAGAGCAGAAAAGAGGGAAGCTCACTATTCTACTCTCTTGAACATGAAAAGTTATTCTTACGGTGAGTCAGGACGCTCACCTGAGGCCTCCTAAGCTATGAACATGAATCTCCTCCCTCTACAGTCTCCCCAAAGTAGGAACCTCCTTAGTCTACCCACCTGACTACTGATTAGGTCGGTATAGCGACTGAGAAATATGAAAAGCCGTGGGTTGACATGGTGAAATGTTGTCAGCATGTTGGAAGGCAAATGACCACAAAGTACAAAGCACTCAGCACATTCTTACCTCGCCCTCGTCTAAGTGGTGTAGCAAACACTATTCTCACTTTCTGTAGACAAAACTGAGGTATAGAGAAACAAATAAAGTTCCTTACATTCCACAAGCCACTGAGCAAGTCTAGAAGCCCTGATTCCCAGAACTGCGGCTCCTACTTTGGCAATCATCGCTGCCATATTACCTTCTCACTGCCTTCCTGCTCAGGCCTAGGAAACACCCACTGATGATCATTCCAAGAGCCTGAGGAAGTGACTTAAGCCCATGTAAAACGGAAACGGAAAAAAGGCCAAACATGCCCAATGTCTTTTAGGTCCTGTGTTGGTTATGATTCCTTTGACTGCAAGTGACAGAACTCCCAAACCAAAAAGGCTCAAGTAGAAAAAGGACTTTCCTGACTCAAATTAGTGACAATCATTAGGGGAGAAAGGCTCAGGAACATCTTGAGCAGGGCTCAGATAATGTCATCAGGAGCCAGACAGTGTCTAGGGTCACGTCAGCCATCCTGTCTGTCTGCCCCATCAGGTGGTGAGTCTGTGGAAGTAGTGTCAATCTTCATGTTTCCAGGACCCAAGGCCAGTTGGAAAGATCAAGTCCACTTTTGCAAAAACTCCCAAGTTCTAGATTGAGTCTCACTTGGCTCTGACTGATAATACTGGGTCACAAGTGCATTCCTGAACCCATCATAATGTTTAGATGGGATGGATCATGCTGATTGGCTCAAGCATGGGTCACAGGACAGGTCCCTAGAGCTGAGCACATCCAGACCATGTGCTCAAGACAAGGAGACAAGGAGAGTTGTATATTCTTCAAGTGAAAATGGGGCCTGTGTAGGGTCACACTTGCCCGACAATAACCTACGTGTCCTATGTGAACCATGTGTCCTTCTGGCTCCCTTCTGGGCAGGATGCCAACCATCTGGTATTGTAACTGTTTCTCTCAAAGAACATCATCTCCTGAGGGAACACAGAGCCCCTCCACGTGAGCTGCTGATCCTTGGAATGCTGGCCATGTAAGGACAGTCCCTCTTGCAATCACACAGCCTTTCTTCCCCTGCCTACATAAGCAACTCCCTCTCTGTTCACGGTAGTAGGAGCAGATGCACAATTCCATCCGGCTGGCTGTTCCTGGACGTTCCCAGTGAGTAAGACCCAATAAAACTTATGTCTCATTCACTGTCCCCAGCTCTTTTCTCTGTTCTCTCTGCAACCTATCCCGTACTGCTCACCCAACTGGGTGTGCGGCCAGACAGCCTGTGACTGGAGAAAGCAGGAATGCACATGACAAATGCCCATTATAAGCACATGGCTGCATTTTGATCAGGCCCTCTGTCTGCTTTCCAAGAGTAGATCACACAGTATTGTGCCTAGAACACTGCCTTTTCAGTGGGATAACTGCATGCAATAAGGAAAACAAAAGAAAAATGACAATGGCTTTGGTATCAAAGGTCCAGCTGGTTGTTATCATTAGTTGACTGTGTGACCTTTGGCAAGTTACTTCTCCAGTCTCACTTTCCTCATCTGTTAATGGGAATAATATCTCCTAAAGGGTTACTGTGATGAAGTGAAGCACTTGATGCTTAATAAATGTTGAACTTCATTCAACAAATGTTTATTGAGTGCCTACCATGTATTCTGCTCCCAGTGCTTGGTTTAGATCCCTGAATAAGCTAGACTTAGTTCTGTCTCATGGAACATACAATTGTGATAAATGCTATCCATGAGGGAGAAGAGCAGGGTGCCAGGAGAATAGAATCTGACCTATCCAGCGGGAGGAGGATCAGAGGCTTCCTTGAGAAGGCGACATCTGAGCTGAATTCCAGAGGATGGATAAAGAGTATTTCAATCTAATGGAACAAAATAAAAGGAGGAAACACAGTACATTCAAGAAACTGAAAGAAAGCAGGCAGGCTGGGTACCAGAGCCTGAATGGCAGATTTGGGGATGGCTACTATTGCCATTAGCTTATTCCTAATTTTGTTAAGGCCCTGAGCCCATGGGCCCAACACTTATTTTAAAGGCTAACAAAAACACCACATCACGATTTCTAATATTATGAAACATTCTGTTCCTAAGTGTTCTAACATTCTAATTGTTTCTTCTAAATTCCTACATATTTCACACTTGAATAGAAGGTGAAGCAAACATTAGATAATAGTTCCTTTTGTACTCTTGACAGTAACATAAGCCTTTCCCTTTGGTATTGCTTTGGAAAACACAGGACTTAACTGAAATTCAATTCTTGTTTAACCATTAAGCAATGAAGAGTGTAATGAATCATAGCAAACTAATGTCAACAAAAAAGAAAACTGTTCAGCAACTGCTTCAGTTGCTGCAAATAACTTCTACACGGAGTGCTGTGGATACAGACGTGGTTTCCTAAGTCCCTCTAGGCTTGGCTCCCAGTTTGCCCGTCAAGCTAAGCAGGTATTAGAAGACTGTAAAAGAAGTAGCACTCAGTTCAAATTCTATCTTACCTCTCAAGTTATGGGAACAGATTACTAACTCTGATCCCAGAGGAAGAGTTTTTTTCAATTTCATTGTCCACCAGGGCTTAGGAACAAAAAAACCTAAAAGCCTTCTTTATAAAACAGCAAAAGCTGGGCCAGCCCCATGGCCTAGTAGTTAAGTTTGGTGCACTCCACTTTGGCGGCCTGGGTTTGGTTCCAGGCATGGACCTACACCACTCATCAGTGGGAGTGCTGTACCAGTGACCCACATACAAAATAGGGGAAGACTGGAACAGATGTTAACTCAGGGCAAATGTTCCTCAAGGAAAAAGAGGAAGACTGGCAATGGGTGTTACCTCAGGGCAAATCTTCCTCAGCAAGCAAAAACGAAAATGACAATGCTGCAGTATTAAAGCAAATGTATGCATAGTTGTTTATAAATATAAATGATTCTAAATATCAAATTGTCACCACAGAAAAATAGGGTTCTCCTACCTGAGGTGCACTTAAAAAAAGCTAATTAATTACAGCATCAGCTTTTGGGAATGGAAAACAGCTTCACTGCTCCGTAAATCTGCTAGATCAATCTGAGGGCCATGTGCCCTCAGATCTGTCTCTCTGATTCAGGATTTGCGGTAAAATTTAAGAGGTTAGGGAGAACAGGCTGGCACAAGGAAACACTAGAGGGACAGGTTTTGACTGGTGGGCTTTATGCATTTATGCTAAGGTTCTAAACATTTATGGTAAAGTTTTAAACACTGATAGCAAGATTTTAAACATTTAGGGTAAGGTGGGGAAGGGATTTTAATCTTGGATCTTCCTGGATGACAGATCCCTTGCTTCTGATGAGAGAGTCCAGCTTTCAAGTTCTGCTCATGTGCAGTCCTTTGGTGTTGTGGGGAGAGGAATCTTTGGTTCTGCAGTCATTTCAGGTCAAGAATTCTTCTGCATGTGCTCTGACTACGTGACGTTGCAAATTTTCTGAATAACAATTCTTTTTTTTTTTAAATTGAGGTTATGATAGTTTACAATCTTGCAAAATTTCAGTTGTATGTTATTGTCAGCTATCTTACAGGTGCACCACTCCACCTTTTGCGCCCACACCCCACACCCTTACCCCTGGTAACCACTAATCTGTTCTGTTTGTCCATGTATTCGTTTATCTTCCACATATGAGTGGAATCATACAGTTTGTCTTTCTCTATTGTGCTTATTTCGCTTAACATAATATCCTCAGTGTCCATCCATGTGAGAAACAATCTTAGTCATTCTGCTGACAAGAGATGGGATCTGATGGAACTGGGGCTAACAGGCCCATGATGCAAAATTACTTGCCAGCGAATACAACCCCATCTGCTCACGTAGTTTTAAAAGCGGGAGGAAACATTAAAGAGAGTGGATACTGTTAATAAATTGTTAACCTGTCAGCCGACATTTTTGCTACTGTGTTTTTATTTTCTTTCTTTCAGATTCTGGGTAGGAGCCCTTCTGGGATCTCGAGTAAAATTTTATAAAGAAATATTTGCCTTATGCTCACAAAGCACCTGGATGACAGGTATGCCTGCAAATGTGAAAATCGGGTAAAAATGGTGCTACCTAGTACTAATTCTTAATTTTTATAGGGTCATAAGAGATACCTTGAGAGTCTGGTGAAAGGTATAGAGCCTCTCTCTGGAAAACTCTCCTACAAATAAATACACCATTTCTGGAGAAAAATAGACATGCCAAGCACCTGGCTAAGCATACTGTTGTCACCTCCAAAGAGCCACATATGAAATTTTAAATTCTGAAGTCCTTTCTTGGAACATAGCCTCCCAGCCTTTTATCTCTCTTCCTAACTCTGTTCTTCAACTTAGAGACCACTAATGCTTCCACCTGCCTTAGTCTGTCTCAGGCTACCAGCTGACACTGAATCCCTTCTCTAACTAGGCTGGAGCGCAGAAGGAATCAATTCATCGTCACTCTCCTATTCATGCCCCCTTTTCCTATTGCCATACAAACCTGCCAACTTCTGACCAGAAGGTCTCCTTTACCCCAACTCTGCTTCTGATTCTGTACTTTCTTATCTTAGTAAATGGCAAAACCATTGTTGTCACTGTCACACAAGCCAGAAACCAGGACATCAACCTAGGTTTCTCTCTCTTACCTCTCACAACCAGTCACACACCATCCCTTCCTTTCTTCCTCTATCGCTTCTGCACACATCACTCCTTACTTGGATTAACTGGCTTCAGCCCGACTCCCTCCAATCTGCCCACCAGACTGCTCCCAGAACCTAAAGAAAAAACCACTTCCTGCCTGAGATCCTTTGACGGCTTCTTCTAGCTTTCAGATTAAAGTTCAAAATCCTTAGTTTAAAATGCAAGGCTCTCGGAAACTGGCCCAGCCGGTACCTCAATCCTCTACAAGCCATTCCCATCCCTGGTTCTACACATTGTGCCCTTTGGGCTGTTCACCTCTGTGCCTTTCCACAAGCTGTGCCCTCTGTCTGGAATAACCCTACCCTCTCTTCATTGAAAATTTACTAGTTCTCTAAAAGATCCCATAAGTCACTCTCTCCAAAAAGAACTTTCTTAATCCTCCAGTTTGATTGTCAGATCCTTTGTCTCTGCTCCTTCAGGCCCACACCTCTTCCTCCCACCTTCTCAACGTGCGCTGGCTGCTGCGTTACTCCTCTGTCTCCCCAACCTGACCCTAAGCTTCTTGAGGACAGGGCACTTGTCTCAACTCCCCTTCACCTCTGCTGCACTCAATTACTCTTTGTTAAATGTACGAATGCTTCCACTGTTCCCACTCTCAGGAGAGAGTATAAAACCCGAGTTAGACTTTCAGTGCTGCTCAGGAATCTTGTCATTTACCCGCAGCTGCCACAGAGGCCAAACCTGTACCACATTCATTTCCATACTCCTCCTCTCAGGAGATGACTTCACTACTCATTTCACAGAAGTAAAAAAGAGGAGCCATTGAATGGAACTAGAAATTTAGGAATCTCACAGATCCTGACTCCTGATCCAAGGATCAGGTCTTCTCCCAGGCTCTGCAAGGGTAGCCCTGGGCTCTTAAGTCATCTCTCTCAGGTCTTTCCTCTGTCAAGTCAGACTCCTTGTGCATCTTCATGCTTCTCCTCTCCAGGAATTCCTTCCCCTGTGTTAAAACATCCTGACATCCACTACATCTTCCTCAAGTAAAAATAAAACAAAACTACCCAAACAAAACCCTTAGTTTTGCTTTCCTCTCAGATTACTGCCTTCTTTTCCACCCTTCACGCTCAAGTTTCTTGGAAATGTCAAATCCATTTTTTCACTTCCCACTCACTCCTCAATCTGTTACAATTGGGTTTCGGCCTCCACCTGAAACTGGTCTCCACAAAGTCGCTATTGATTTCCCGCTTTTCAAACACAAAGCCTTCATCCTGTGCGTTAGCTGTGTAATATCTGATTCTGGTCATCCTTCTGGAGACCCTCCTCCCCCTTCTCCGTGGCTTTTGGGCACTGTTCTCTCATGAGTCTTCTCATCCCTCTCTGGCTGCTTCATCTCAGCCTCCTTTGCTGCCTTCTACTTCCCCAGCACTCCAGCTTCAGTCCTCTTCATTCCTAAAGACTTCCATCTGGGGAGTTCAGCAGAGCTGTGATCCTCAATTCTACACTGTCACTCTCTCCTATCCTTTGGGGTGGACTGGCTAGGGAGGAGAATGCTGGGCACATGTCAGCCATGTGAGCCTCCTAGTGCTGCTGTAACAAATTACCACAAATTTAATGGCTTAAACCAACACAGACTTATTATCTCACAGTTCTGGAGGACAAAAGTCCAAAATGGGTCTCAGTAGGCTCAAATCAAGGGGTCGGTAGGACTGTTTCTTCTGGAGGCCCTAGGGAAGAATCTGTTCCCTTGCCTCTGCCGGCTTCGAAAGGCCACCCTGATTCCTTGACGCATGGTCTCTTCCTCCATCTTCAAATCTCTCCCTGAATCTGACTTGCCTCTCTTGCCTCCCACTTTCGCTTATAGGTGCTCTTGGGATTACACTGGCCCCACCCAGATAATCCAAGACAATCTGCCATCCCAGGGTCAGCTGGTTAGCAACCTTCATTCTACCTGCAACCTTAATGTCCCTTTGCCACGTAACATAACACATTCATTAATTCTGGGGATGAGGATGTGGACATCTCTAGGGGTACCAGCGAGGAGGCATTACTCTGCCTACCACATCAACTAGCCTGGAAAAGAAAGAAAAGGCAAATATGTAAACGATAATGGGATCTTCAGTCAGGCGCCAAATTGGTCTAATCAGCCGAGGCAGGCGACAGCAGTGTGGAATGGCGCAATAGTTGTGGGAAGAACTGAATGAGGGCTACAGAGAAAATGCTGTCTGGACTCTCTAGGTTTCAAAAGGAAAATCAGGCTGCCTTTTATAGGAGAGTTCACATTTGTCCCTGACTAATCTCTCCATGCTGAAATGATTTCTATTTGTAGAACCTTCCCATATATGATCCCCTGACTCAAAATCCTTGGATGAGTCCAAGGATGTCTTCCAACACCCCCTCCCCCAAACTCTTCACAGCTTTAAAATTATCAAATGTCACAATTTTGTTTTTTATTGGCACCTGAGCTAACAACTGTTGCCAATCTTTTTTTTTTTTTTTTTTTCTGCTTTATCTCCCCAAATCCCTCTGGTACATAGTTGTATATCTTAGTTGCAGGTCCTTCTAGTTGTGGCATGTGGGATGCCACCTCACTGTGGCCTGACGAGCGGTGCCATGTCCTCGCCCAGGATCTGAACCGGCAAAACCCTGGGCTGCGGCAGTGGAGCATGTAAACTTAACCACTAGGCCATGGGGCTGGCCCCGTCACAATTTTTTTAATACATAAAAATGGCCCCTAAACATATGAAAATACATTCGATTTCACTCACAATACAAGAAATGCCAATGAATATTACTGTGAGATATCATTTCTCACATAACAGATTGGCAAAGACTTCAAAAGCCTCACAACACATTCTTTTGGGAAAGCCACAGATAGACACTTCTGTATATTGCTAGAATGCAAATTTGTACAACTCTTGGGGAACTTCTAACAAAATTATGCTTGCATTTATCTTTTGACCAGCAACCCCATTCCTAGGAATTTACCGTGAAGACACACTTCCAACAATATGAAAATACAGATGCACAAAGTTATTCATTGCTGCATTGTTTGTAAGGTTTCCAAGCTAGATGCTCATACATATGAGTGCCTGAATAAACCAGGGTACTGCTGCATAAGAGGAGTACTACACAGCTGTAAAGCAGAATGCGGAAGAGCTCTATGAAGTGATAAGGTGTAATTTAAAGGATATATTATTAAGTAAACAAAATTTATGTTAGGTAAAACTATCTCTAGTGTGGTACCTTCTTTGTAAAAAAGAAGGGTAAATAAGAAAATACGTATGTATCTGTTTATTTTTGCAAAAAGAAACTTAGGAAGACTACGCCAGAAACTAGTGAGATTGACTACCTGTCCTGGGTAGGTGGGAAGAGAGTAGAAATAAAGGGCAGAGAGGAATGACACTTTCTTTTTTTGCAAGGAAGACTGGCTCTGAGCTAACATCTAATGCCAATCTTCCTCTTTTTGCTTGAGGAAGATTGTTGCTGAGCTAACACCTGTGCCAATCTTCCTCTATTTTATGTGGGATGCTGCCACAGCACGGCTTGACGAGCGGTGCTAGGTCCACACCTGGGATCTGAACCTGCGAACCCTGGCCACCAAAGCAGAGTGTGTGAGCTTAAACACTAGGCTACCAGCCCAGCCCCCATTTTTTTTAAAATAAATATTTTATTTTATTTTATTTTTTGAGGAAGATTAGCCCTGAGCTAACTACTGCCAGTCCTCCTCTTTTTTTTTCGCTGAGAAAGCCTGGCCCTGAGCTAACATCTGTGCCCATCTTTCTCTACTTTATATGTGGGACACCTACCACAGCATGGTGTGCCAAGCGGTGCCATGTCCACACCCGGGATCCGAACCTGCGAACCCCAGGCCGCTGAGAAGTGGAACATGCGAACTTAACCACTGCGCCACTGGGCCGGCCCCACCCACAATTTTTAATATACCCTTTGTATAGTTTTGATTTGGGGAACCATGTCACTGTTTTATATAAAATAGGTAAAAGAAGGTCTTACATAAAATAAAATGAAAAACGGGGGAACTCTAAAATGGAAAAATAAAAACCATCTAACTGTATTCCAGATCAATGCTAACCACATTGATGCAGGGGGAAAAAGATCAACCCAAGTGCCTTTTTTTCCCAAGTGACTCTCTTTTAACAACAGCTTTATTGAGATATGATTCACATATCATAAAATTTACCTAAAGTATACAATTCAGTGGTTTTTAGTATATTCAGAGTTGTGCAACCATCATCATAATCTATTTTTAAAACATTTTTCATCACCCCCTAAGAAGACTCCATACTCATAGCAGTCACTCCCTATTTTTGCCACACTGTCTCCCAGTCCTAGGCAACCACTAATCTACTGTCTCAGTAGGTTTGCCTATTCTGGACATTTCATATAAATGGAATCACATAATATATGGACTTTTGAGAGGCTTCTTTCACTGAGCATGTTTTCAAGGTTCATCTACCTTGAAACACATATCAGTATTTCATTTCTCTTTTTCTTTCTTTTTTTTTTGGTGAGGAAGACTGGCCATGAGCTAACATCCGTGTCCATCTTCTTCTACTTTATATGTAGGACGCCTACCACAGCACGGCTTGCCAAGCCATACCATGTGCGCACCTGGATCCAAACCGGTGAACCCCGGGATGCCGAAGTGGAACATGGGAACTTAACTGCTGCACCACCAGGCCGGCCCCTGGACTGATTTTTATGTGTGGCAAAGGAATGTGCCCATTGTAAAAAAAAACCATTGCCATTAGAGGCCCATTCAGATGTGAACTGCAAAAACAAACATAGCATCAGGAAAATCTTAAATGGCATTTTTGTGATTAATTAAAAGAGTTTTGTAATCAGGTTCTAAGCTATCTTACAGAACCGGAGGAGTAAGGTACTGGGAGGTAAAAAGGTAAGGCAATCTAGAAATTATCTGTTATACAATTATACAGGGTTTAAACGTTACACAGATTTAAATGAGGATTTATAAGGTTAAGAACACAGGCCTGGTCTGGAGTCTTGGGACAGCTGTCTACAACAAATGCCGTCTTCTTCTCATCCTGGTTTGGAGATGTTTGTATTGGTCAGTCGAAGTCGGGTTCAGAAAGGGAGTTGAAACCCACTCAGCCTGGTACATGGAGACCCACGAGTTCCTTCAGTTTTTGTTGCTTTTTCTGAAAAGATCAGTTAGGGGGTCACAGGAACACTCTTGAGTAGAACTGCCCGCCGTAGGCCTCCATGCCCACCAAAGGTTTCAGTTCTTCTGTTTCCTGTTGTCCAAGAAGAGCATTGCCTGTTTGAGAATTATAAAGGGGACGAGGGAGGTCCTGGTTGGAAATGGGTACTATTTTTACTCGTGAGTGGTGTATCCAAGGCTTAACTCCCTTGAATTGTACTGAAGGATGTGTAACCAGGACTGCATAGGGTCCATTCCACTTAGGTTACCGTTGGTCCTCAGGGTGTGGACTTTTCCCAGTCTTGAGCAGGACTCAATCCCCTAGGGTTATGCAATGCTGGGGACGTTGGTTGGAAACACTAATCGGCTAGAAGCTTATTTATGTATAGTGGATAAAGTAGCACCTAGAGACTGTACACACTTTATGGCATCCAATTCTTTTACAACATGACCATTTTCAAGATTGCAATAATACTTAGTCTTAAGGAGGGGTCTCCCATACAACATTTCAGAAGGACTTAACTGAGACCTCCTTCTAGGGGCTACTCTTACCCTAAGCAGGAGAACCAGAAAGACCTTATCCCATGTTAGGTTGGTTTCCTGACATATTTTAGCAATTGTTTTCTTTAAGGTATGTTCATCCTTTCCCTCCTTCCCTTAGACTGAGGCCTCCAGGAAGCATGTAACGTCCATTGTATTCCGAGGGCTCCAGATACCTCTTGTGTCCCTTTGGCTATGACAGCTCCTCAGCTGTTGCTTTGAATTGAAAGAGACAACTCAAAGTGAGGGATAATTTCTTTTAGTAAGGCCTTTGTTACTTCGGAAGCCTTTTCTGTCTTGACCACAAAGGCTTCGACCCATCCTGTGAAGGTGTCCACAAAACCCAGCAGATATTTATCATTTCCCAGGGCTCTCAGCATAACAGTAAATCATCTCTTGGTTCTGTGCCTTTGGCTTGCACCCCTTTGATTACTGGTGGTGGCCTGGTTTGGGGATTGTTTCGGGCACAAATCAAGCAATTTTGTACCACCTTCTGGATAGTCGTTTGCATTTGTGGGCCAAGAATAAACTTTTGTAGCCAATTATGGTTGCATCTCTCCCTCATGGGTTCTCTGATGTGGGTGAGTAGTGATTTTTTTTTCCATTTAAGTGCTTGGGTATAAGCAGTAGTCCCTTTTCATTATAAACCCAGCCTTCTTTGGTTGTTTGGTACTGACTGCCATTGAGCCTCAAGAGCCTGTACGAAATCCCCATTTGCCTGCTGTTTAAATGTGTTTCTGAATACTGACGCTTAAACACAGACGGATCCATACTCAGGATGAGTGCTAGGGCCTTAGGATTTGGGTTTTCAGTTCTGGCTGCCGGTTTTGCAGCCTGATCAGCCAAATCATTTCCTTTTGCTATACAACTATCAGTCTTTTGGAGGCCTGGGCAATGTACCATGGCCACTTTTTCTGGAGTCAAAACAGAATCTAATAAGCCCAGTATGCCTCCTGCATGTTTAATCTCTTTTCTTCCTGCAGTTAGACGACCTCTCTCTTTCCATATGGCCCCATGTGCATGCACGACAGAGAAGGCACACTTAGAATCAGCATAAATGGTTGACTTTCTCTTAGCTCCAAGACGCAGGGCTCTCGTGAGGGCTATGACTTCTGCCTTCTGGGCAGACATACTGAAATCAGCAGAGAGTTAGCCATTGATGATCAAGTATCTAGGTACTAAAGTTTTTTTTCCTTTTTGCAATTACTGATTATAGCTTTTAGCTGTTTAACCCACCATTGTTAACTGTACTGTTTAGGCAATATGCTACCTGACTCCCACTAAACTCCTATACATAACATCTCCCTGGAGCCTGGGTCACCATGGTAATGGGTGTGTGAGCTGTTTTTCAGGAATTAGAACTCCTTGTCCACTTCAGGCCGGTTGAGACCACCAACTCATCAACCAGGCCCGCACAGATGGCCGATAGGCGACCTTTTGACGTCAGAAGGCTAAAAACTCCACCCTCAGGTCATGCTAACACCGCCATTTTGTGAACACGGGTCCTATGAAGAGGCGTGAAGTCTGACTACACTTATGCAGATCATCATTACCTCACCTCTCCTCACCTCCAGTCACCTCTCTCCACATTTCAGACCACCTTGCCCCGTTTCCCATAAATATCCCTGAGTCCCTATTTTTGGGGAAGCGAATCTGAGGCTCATGCCCTCGCTTCCTCATGTGGCTGCCTTGTGAGTAAACTCTCTCTCTGCTGCAATCTCGTCGTCTTGGTGTTTGGCTTTCCAGGCAGCAGGCAAAAACGAACCTGCTTCGGTAACAATACCCGGAGGGAGTGTTTCTGCTTCGAGGAGTTCCTGATGAGTTACTATTAGATACCCTGCCTTCCGAAATCCATGGTCCATGAAGCTGCTCCCATCAGTAAATATTTCCTATCTGGATTCTCCAAAGACTTGTCAGTCAGGTTGGGTCTGCTAGAATAAACTTCTTCAATTATTTGTACAATCTTGGACAGGTTCTCCTGTTGTAGCAGGAAGCAAAGTAGCTGGATGTCACCTTTAATTTTGCATTCGGGTTGTCCAGTAGTATGGCCCGATATTTGCCTAGCTTCCCAGAGTGAGCCAGTATCCTCGTTTTTGTTCCAAAAGAGGAAGTACACAGTGAGGAGTGTGCACAGTGGTGGGCTGACCCAAAGCAAACTTTTCTGCCTTCTGTAACAAGTCACAGGTGGCTGCTACCGCCCTCAGGCACACCAGCCGTCCTTTAGTCACCACATCCAACTGTTTGGAGAAATAGGCAACAGGCCTTCTTCTCATGTTACCCAAATTCTGGGTTAGTACCCCGAGGCTAACTCCTTGCCTTTCATGAACAAACAGTTCAAACAGCTTCCTGATGTATGGGAGGCCTACAGCAGGGTGGGTAAGCAGACTCTCATTAATGGTTTGGAAGGCTTTATGGCATTCTGCAGGACAATTAAGACGTTCATTGTCTCCACCCTTGAGAGCCTCATAGAGGGGCTTCGCTATCAGTCCGAAATTAGGGATCCAGATACAGCAGAATCCTGCCATGCCCAGGAACCCTCACGACTGTCTTCTGGTGGTGGGCATAGCCACCCCAGCTAATGCCTCCCTTCGATCTGGCAATAAGTTTCTTTGTCCTTTTGATAACTCAAATCCTAGGTACTTTACAGTCAGTTGAGGAATTTGTGCTTTTCTCTCAGAGACTTTTGTTGACGAAAATAATCCATAACCAATCTATAAATGAAAATTTGGGTGAGTTTATTCTGAGCTAAAATGTGAGGACCATGGCCCAGGGCCTTTCTTCCCAAAGGAAGAAAGGGCACCAAAGAAGTGGGGTGTACAGAGTGCTTATATACCCCCAAAGAGCATGTTTCACATATGATTGAAATGTCCTTTTACAATAGTCGCGAGACTGCTCTGTCAGCACAGCGATTGATGCACACAGCAGGTAGGTCTGCTGTCTGGGTGGACACAGCAGGGTGGCAGGTCTGTTGTCTTGAGCTGGGTGGTCAAAGGCGAGCACAGCAATCAGTTCCCAGCCTGAGGAAAGATGCTTATCCATAAGGAAATGCCAATATCGGGGGAAGTACCTTTATCTTAAGGGCATTTGCTCTTGCCAAAGTAAATGTTTAAAGCAGATATACAATGCATGCTTGATGGCCATGTCAGGCCCTTTTGGAAAAACAAAGTCAGGCCGAATTAGGTTTACACCAAATGGTTTCCTCATATACTCCAATATATCCTATTGCTTGCCATTTCTATTTGACACTTTCTATCTCCTTTCTGCCAGAAAGCTCAAAGTAAGGATTGTATTTTGGTCTGAAGCTTCTTTAGTTTTACTAGCAATCATATGTCATCCACATAATTGGAATAAGACTCCCTCACTTACCTGGAGATTCCTTAAGTCCTTGGCTAAGGCTTCCCCGAAGATGGTGGGGGCATTTTGAAATCCTTGCGGAAGTATCATCCAACCACAGTGTTGTTTTACATTAGTCTCTGGATCGGCCCATTCAAAGGCAAACAGGTCCTGGGACTCAGGACTCAGGGGTATGCAGTAAAAGGCATCTTTAAGTCCTGAACTGTAAACCAGCAGAAGTCTCCAGATACTTGGGAACATCCTGAAGGACTGGAAGAACAATGCCTCTTTTCTTTGGAGTCAGAAGACCCTTACAAGATTAATCAAAAGGCAGTTTGTTACAGTCACCAAAAAACTCGGTGCCCAAATAGCCAATTCAAGTCAGACAAACATTAACAGACAACACAATTCGATATATAGCATAGACCAGAACACTAGCTAGTTTGCCAGGAGTAGCTGAGAACCAAAGCCAGGAGCTACCCTAAACCAGATGGCCAGGGGCAAGTCAGAACCAGCGCCGGTGTTAGCGCACAAAGGCATGATCTGCTCACTGCCAGACAAAAGCCCATCGTCAAAAGAGGCAAGATGGTAACAGAGAAAGGGCATTTTATTACAGCTTGCTAGCAAGAGGGAAGATGTGAACTCACGTCCAAAAGAACCATCTTAAGGGGGGGGCACAGAATCTTGAAGCAGTTACATAGGCCCATGGCTCATAGTGGAGAGGCTTAGGAATGTTGACCCAGGAGTCGCCAAACCAGATCTTTCAGTTGTCATTGACGATGGCTATCAGCATAGACTCTGTGTGGGGCCCATCACATTCCTAAGGAACTCAAAAGAACGAAGTTCTCGTCTTATTGCAGCTGGGAGGTATATGCACAAGCAGGGGGCATAAAATCTACAGAGCAGGTCGGTCTCCTGGAGGGTGCAAATCCAGCTGGGTAAGTTAGGCAGAGATCATTCAAAGTTATAATGTGGTCTCTTTTCGACAATATGGCTTCCCTTACGTCAACCTTGTGTTGAGCCAGTATCACCGGGACCTGCCACATCCAGAAACAACTTCACCAGCGAACTTTTGATCCTGCCTCTAACTACCTTGGGTGGTTCAGGCCCAAGGTTTGAGTCTCAGCCCGCCAGGCTTCCCCAGAGTACAAGCTGAACCTATATTTCCAGGAAATCAAACCAGAGAGACAAGATAAAGGACACTTTCTTGAAGTTACTTACCCAGAGCCCAGAGACATCTTCCAAACCCAGAAGCTATTTCTTCTCCCAAAAGAATAAAAAAGCTTTGGGGCCTGGAGCACCCCAGCGGGAAACGGGAATCCCTCAATCAAGCCTCCAGATGAAATTGTCTAGGCTGCCGCTGAGCAGCAATGAAAAGACCCCACACCCTGATGAGGGTTCCAGAGCCTTGGGCAGGCGGTCACAGGACCTTGGGCCTGCCGGAGTCACCAATTTTTACCGCACAAAATTAGGGTTCTCTGCCTGATGCACACAAACAAGCCAAGTAATTATGGCATCAGCCGTTGGGGGAGAAATCAGCTTTTATTCTGCGAGATGGATCCATCTCCAGGGAGACAGGGGATGGGGGCCCTCAGAGGTGTCTCCCCCACTCAGGATTTGGGGGGACATTCAAGAGGTGAGGGAGAACTGGCTGGGACGTGGAAATGCTGGGGGGACAGGCTTTGATGGGTGGGCTTCAAGCATGTATGGTAAGGTTTTAAGCATTTATGACAGGGCTCTAAATTTTTATGAGGAGGTTCTAAACATCTATGATGGGGTTCTAAACATTTTTGAGGAGGTGGGGAAGGAATTTTTAACACTGGATCTCGGGGACCCCTCGCTACTAAGCAGAGTTGGACTTTCAGGGCCCAGCGGCTAAGTTCCCGTGCTCCGCTGTGGCGGCCCAGGGTTTGGCTGGTTCAGATCTTGGCCGCGGACATGGCGCCGCCCATCAAGCCAAGCTGAGGCAGCGTCCCACAAGCCAGCACTAGAAGGACCCACGACTAGAATATACAATTATGTACTGGTGGGGTGGGCTTTGGGGACAACAAGGAAAAATAAAATGTGAAAAAAAAAAAAGATTCCGACTTTCAAGTTCTGGTCAAGTCGGATCCTCGGGTCAACGCCCCACATGCATACGAAAGTACTTAGGGGCGAAGGCACATCAGCACGCAACTTCCTCTCAGATGGTTCATAGGAAGGAATCCTATCTAGAGAAAAATGATACGGCAAACGTGGCTAAATGTTAACAAAGCGGAATCTGAGCGTCGGACATACAGTTCTTTATACTATTCTGGGAACTCCTCTGTAAGTCTGAAATTATTTAAAATTTAAAAGTTATAAGGAAAAAACCGCTAACGCTACCTTTCCTCTGCTCTCATCCTGAGGTCTTCGGGGCTCAGGGTCTCGGGCCGTCGGCCAGGACCCCTCACAGCCTCAAGGGGCCCGGGCTGTCCGATGGCAGCAGAACCGAAGAGAACGTCTACCAAGCACCCGCCCCGACAGCCGCGTCAGCCTGAGGCCCACGAGACGACGCAGGCGCACAGGGGCGGGGCTCAGCCCCTTCCCGGGCAGGCCCACCCTGCCCTGGGATTGGCCGCGGGCGCGGTGACATCACTTCCTGCCCCTTAGGGCACACGTGCAGCTTAGGCTCTGTAAAGCCGCAGGGGCGAGAGCCTCGCTCCTAGGTGACTCCCGGCGGGCTAGCCCGGCGTTAGTGCGAGCTCCAGGCCACAGCGGGCGCCCCTCTGGCGAGCGTATATCCCTACAAGACGCCGAGAATCTGGGGCCCAGATGGTTAACCCCCACCCCCACCGCCAAACCCAGTGTTGTAACCCTGTCCCCACTTTCCTCTCGATTTTGGGCCGTGGAGTCAGGGAGCTGACTCACAACCACAGGGGGAAGCTGGGAGCTCGCCTGTGAAGGCAGAATTAAGTAAGGGCATCTTCTTGAAAAGCCTTAACGTTTCCTTCATGTCGTCTTGCAAAGCTTAATGTTTGTGGTCCAAGTGCTGCCACCAGTGAGTTTCCAGCAGGTGCTGTGGAAACCTTGGCCAATACCAGTCGGCCACTCCCTCGCGGGGGCGTGTTTCTGGGCTTTCTCATTATCAATTAGTTGGACATTGCAGGTAAATGTGTCCTAGCCTTACAAAGCCTGTTCTGATCTACAGCTCCCTGCTCAAGGAACACCAGGAGACAGACAGCAGGTGGTGGGGTACGCCACAGGTATTGTGCTTCTGCCACTTACCAAGTTACAGTTTCTGATGAAAGCTGATTCATAGGATGAAGCCATCATATTTGAATTTTGAGGTGAAACTTGTGGGTTGCACGCATAACAGACTGAGGTGCTGCTAAACCGTGTTGTGATTATAGTTGCTCTTGCAAGTTTCCTCATTCATCCTGGTAGACAACGAATATTATTTTCATTGTCCAGCATAGCACCTGGCCCATGGCAGGTGCTTGGTAAATACCTCAATGACTTTATACTGCCCTGCACATTCTGCAGAATTAGAGTGATCTTCTCCCATCACCTGTAAATCTGGGGGTATTTTTGCCTAGGTTGGCACTGCTAGCATTCTTTAAAATGGTATTTTGTAAAAGAAACACTGTGTTCTTACTGTTTGTGGAAGAAATTCTGAGGTTTCCAATGATCTCAAATGCTGAGCAATGAAAGGAGACTGAATAACATAACTATGATCTGTGTTTTTCTTCTGTATTCACAGAATCTTATCATCATTACCTCTCTTTATATATTTTTCTTTTACCTCCCCCAACAAAATGAAAGAATTCTATAATGAAAAGGGTGAAGAAAAGATGACTTTATTTCAATTGAGCAGACAGGCATGTCAAGCAAATGAAGACAGAAGAACACATAGTCAAGAGTATATTGGGAGAGGGTAAACGGATTCTTTTTAATGATTCACAGCAACCACATTTATCCCCTACTGTTACTGGGAGAAAAATGTCTTCAGATAACCAGTGGTCAGCAGATGAGGACAAAGGCCAATTATCTCGACTGATCAGGAAATCTAGGGACTCCCCCTTTGTCCCTATAGGTAAGTACAAGTCTTGACTGGACACTGGAAAACTGTTTGTAATAACACAGTAATGCCTTACCTGGTATCTCTGAGGATTGAAATGTTTTATACAATTGAATTTTTTCAGATAATTGAAGGTAACTCCCTCTAAGCAGGAAGATGAGTTAAACTTTCATAAGTTTCTAGTATATGGTAAACCCCAATAATTGTTAGCTATTATTATTATGAAGGATCAAATTTTATTTTGTTTAATCCATTTTCATTAGAGGTCTCTCTAAAATCACTCTTTCCCAGCCCATCAAAATGGAATTGACTGAATGGACTTTAACATTTCTATGATGACCCAGAATCATCAAGAGCAGCATCAGTTTACTATATAAAGTCTATTAGGGACTATTGAGACGTATATGTCTCTTTGCCCTCTAGGTAACTCCAACCTTTAAGTTCTTGTCTCTCATGTTTACTGATTTTTCTGTTTCTTCCATTACTGTTGGGTACCACCAAAAACTTCTTCTAATGTTCTGTGGCACCAGAAGCTAGATACCCAAACTTAAAAGAACTGAGTCAATTCAGAGTAAAGAAGCCCTGGGGCCAGCCCCATGGCCGAGTGGTTGGGTTCGCCCGCTCTGCTCTGCTTGGTTGGCCTGGGGTTTTGCCCATTCAGACCCTTGGTGCAGAGTCAGCACCACTCATCAAGCCATGCTGAGGCAGTGTCCCACATAGCAGAGCCCGGAGGACCTACGACTAGAATATACAACTGCATACTGAGGGGCTTTGGGGAGAAGAACCAAAAAAAAAGGATGGGCAACAGATGTTAGCTCAGGTGCCAATCTTTAAAAAAAAAGAAAAGAAGCCCTGAATGAAAGCCTGGGCCTACCTGTACAGTTGAGAGCATGAACTTCATGGTGTTCGTGCTCAGCGGCCCTTTTTGCTGGCTTCCTGATGTGTTCAAATGTTGAGGCTGATGGTTAAGTAAACTCTAGATTAAAGAAGTGGTACTATAATTAGATGTGGAGTCTTAGCCTCTTTATCCTTTCCCAACACATATTTAGTATGTTTACATTTTCAACAAATGTATGTATGTGGACTTTAAAAAAAACCCCACAAAATCTAAGCAGCAATATGATGTTTTAAAATCTGCACTTTCTCTTTCTTCTCTTTTGAATGCTTAAGCTGCCCTAAGCATTCTTATTGTATACTGCAATCATGCTTCTTTCCTTGTGTTCATTTTGTCTGAAAACTATTAAATAACTTATTTAAATCAGATTTACATAAGTTTGTCATTAATTCCATAAAACCTTCTAAACAGGTCTAAGTCATGTTTCCATTAAGTGTCACTGCAAATGTAGCAACTTCCTAAGTGTGCTTAGTCACATATCAAAAAGAATAAAAATTTTACTTTACAGTAATAGTCTGTGTTTAGAAGTTTCACTTAATTTGATTAAGGCTTGTAATAGCACCTACAAGAAATGGAAGCAGGTAATTTCATAGTGATTTACTCATCTTCCTTAGCATTTTTAACTAGAAAAGCAATTCGAGAACTCGATGCCACTTGAACAGATCACTGTAACAAACAGATTAACCACTGTGCCTGTTGTAAATTAAATTATTTTTTTCAGAGACATTTAGGGTGATTAAAGTAGAAAGATAAAAGTGTTTCCAGCTAAACTCAATTATATACAAACTACAGAGACACTATATGGAAAACAGTGAAGGTTCTGACTTTAATCTCTAAAAGAAACAAGACCAATTTAAGTAAGAACAGAACCTTGATTTGATAAGGGAAGAGAGCCAAGTTTTTGTTAGAAAACTAAACAATGATAACATTTGGATATATATATTATTGACTAGTTTGTTTAGCTATTGTTATTGTAACAATATCTACTATGTATTTCCTGCTATAAGATGGAGTGTCATGTGCAGATAATTTACAAAACATTTTTGTTATTCTCAACAACTTTCATCATTATGATCTATTTATATTGTTTAAAATTGTCTTATGATCACTGTTAAGGTCTGTGCGTACATTTTATGTATTTAAACTCTGTGTTGACAGATTTTTTTTTTGCTTCTTTCAGTTAACATTTCACATGTACATTTCTGTATATTAGTATTTCCTATACTTACAATTTTTTTATAGCTATGGCAGTTTTTCCTCTGTTTGGGCCATGTGTGTTGTTTAGTTTTTCCTCATACATACTGTAGCCATAAACATCTTATGTCAACTTCTTGACTTTTCTTTTATGTGCTTGGAGTGTGTTCCCAAAAGTAGAATTTCCAGGGCAGGAAGCATATTCACTTTAATATCACTTATTATATATTTCCAGAGTTCTTTCCAGAAAGATTTGACTAAATTTACAGAACTTTCATCATCTTACCTATTTCTCAGTGTGCCCACCATCATCATTTTATTACTTGTTTTTTGCTATTTTTATTTCAACTTCATTTATTGCTAATCAGCCTATAAAATATACATATAAATGTGATTATTTACACTGATTCTTATTTCCACTTTTTAAATGGATCCTCAAAGAATAAATATATCCTCCCCCACTCAGAGAGACACATATGTGCCAACACAGTTAATCAAAACTTGCTATCCTACATAAATGTCAATTGCATTTCTATATACTAACAATAAACACATGGAAACTGAAATTAAAAACATAATACCATTTACAATCACTCCAAAGAAAATAAAATGCTTAGGTATAAGCTTAACAAAACATGTACAGAATCTGTAGGCTGAAAATTACAAAATGCTAATGAAAGAAATCAAGACCTAAGTAAACATAGAGACTATTGTGTTCATGGATTCGAAGACTCAACATACAGTAAAGATGTCACTTCTCTCCAAACTGATCTATAGGTTTAGTTCAATTTCTATCAAAATCCCAGCAAGGTTTTTTGTAGACATAGACAAGCTTATCCTAAAATCTATATGGAAAGAAAAGGCACAAGTCCTAGAATGGCTAAAATAATTTTTTTTAAAAAAATATGAAGTGGAAGGAATCACCTTACCTGATATTAAGGCTTATTATATAGCTATAATAATCATGACAGTATTGTACTGATGGAGGGATAGACACATATAGATCAATAAGATAAAAGAGGGAACCCAAAAAGTAAACCCACACTTTTGTTATGCAAAAGTTCTTTATTCTTACGTCACAATATAGCGTTTTGTCCTGGTCATTTTAAGTCTACTTTACCCTCTTGTAGATGTTGTAAATATGCTATTCTATTTTCTTCTAGTTTTTGTTATTTTCGTTTCATTTTTACATTTAATTCTAACCCATCCAGAATTTTTTTATAGGGTCTGGTGTGATATACAAATCCAAGTTAGCTCTCTATACCAATAAACCGTACTAATGGTGTTTATTAAATAATCATTCCTTTATCTGTTATTTGATTTGTCATGGATTAAGTTCTCAGAGTGTTTTAAATCTCTTTCTAAAGTCTTCCCTATTCAGTTGATCAGTTTTCTGTTTTAGAGCCAATTACATAGGATTGTGGTTCTCACAGGAGTATTTCACCCCTTGACATTTGTAGGGAATATAGAAATATTTGTATGGGCTTCTGGAGTTTTCTAGAATCATAGTTCTTCCCAGAGTCACAAACTTCTTGTGCAAATATGCATACCTTTTCATCTCTCATGAAAGTTTAATGTCTCGTTTTTACAGAAGATTAAAGTTTTAATCATTTTAGTAGATTTACTCCTTATTTGATAACAGGTAGAGAGGAGTAAAGCCAAACACTCAAAAGCGATGGCTGCTGGGATGTTTGGTTGGTCCACTCACTGACAAAGTGACTTGCCCCAAATAAAACCCTTCCAGCATGCACAACTCAAAATCATGCCTCAGGAAAATTACAACTACTACACAAGTTGCTACACTATATGCTTCAGTTTTTGGGGAAAAGACAAAACTGCAAATATTGAATCCATGAATGTTTAGGATCCATCTTAAAATCTGGTGGATCAAATCCAGCATGGTTGTTTTTAAAGTATTCTGTGGTGTCTTGTCTGCTTATCTTCCAAGTATTGATCCATGGGACAGTCTTTTATTCAACTCTCTAATCTCTTTGGAATTCTAGTCTGCTATTTATATAACCTCTACTTTTTTAATTCACAGGGATAGCAGGCTTTATAACTGTGGTGTCCTATGGTCTTTACAAGTTAAAGTACAGAAGAGATCAGAAAATGTCCATTTATCTTATTCATATGAGAGTTGCTGCCCAAGGATTTGTTGTAGGAGCTGTGACTCTAGGTAATCTGCCTAATTTGTGTTTGTGTTCAGCTGTCTTTGAGAGTATTTTTACTTATTTTATTCATTCATCTTAGAAGAGGAATGTTGGGTCAAGATGATATAACAGAGGAAGCATGGTAAGAAAGACACTGATCCTGCCTCGGTTGAGGTTGCTGCCCAGTTATAGGCTTAATTTCTTAGTATTTTAAGCACTGAAAAAAAAACCCTCAGTTGACAAAAGGTACAAACTTCCAGTTATAAAATAAATAAGTCATGGGGATGTAACATACAGCATGGCCACCATAGTTAATAATACTGCCTTGCATATTTGAAAGTTGCTGAGAGAACAGATCTTAAAAGTTCTCATCACAAGAAAAGTTCTGTAACTATTACGGTGACTAGACTTATTGTGGTGGTCATTTCACAATATATACAAATATCGAATTATTATGTTGTACACCTGAAACTAATGTAATGTGGTATGTTAATTACACCTCAATAAAAATCACAAAACCAGGTGAGAACTAGATTATGGGTTCTGTTATTCTCTATAGTGAAAGGAGCAGTGAAGTGTTCATACCCTATATAATGCAGCTAAAAGCAGTGGGTATAGATCCCAGACTTTATTCCTCAGCTAAGAGCAGCAGTCATATTTCCTAGCTTATCTGAACAGCAGATATAAATATTGAAGTAGTTTAACTGGAAAGAAAACGTTTTTAGAACACACAAGTCTCAATATCCTTGTTCTCCTTTTATTTCAAGGAGAATAAGCAAATCTTTTAAAATTAGTCTATAAATTAAGCAATACTTACATAGTCAAATCCAAAGAACAGGTGGTATAAAATTTTCTGGTTAATTCAGGTTTTATCAACAACTAAATCAGATAGTTTTAACAAGATGTCCACCACTTTGGGACCTAAATTATCTAATTTTTTTGTCTACATTAATGAGAACAAGTCACAATGTTCTTAGATCCCCTTCATGCTGTGCAGAGTAGAATCAGCCTAAGAGTAGGTCTAGGATTGTAGTGAGGCATGTGGGGCTTGTGTACAGGGAGTTAAATGGTAATTATCTTATTACTATGAGCTGTGATACGCAAATCTTGAACAAAATACAAGAAACTTTACTACAAAGTTACAGTGAGTCCTCATTTTTGTGCTTCAGTAAACATTTATTGAGCACTTGCTATGTGCAAGACACTGTGCTGGACTAGAGACAGAGTGATAAGACTCAGTCCCCACCCTCAAACAGTTTAGTCTCCTTAGGAAGAGACCAGGAACAGAAGGCAATACAAAGTCATAGGTTCTCTGACAGAGAGAGCACATGTTGCCATGGAGGCACAAGCACAAAGGAGGGGCATTCAACTAGGGCTGAGAGTCCAGGGAGGGCTTTTCTAAGTATGTGAAATACATCATGAGCCAAGAATGTGGAAGAATCAACTAGGCAGAGGAAAAAACAAAGGCACAAGGGCATAGCATGTTAGCGGAAGTCTGCATAGTTTCCTATGGGAGGTGAATCAATCAGTGTTTGATGAGAGAAGCAGAACTACTAGTAGTCATAACTAATAAGAGATTTATTATAGTTATTTGGACTTAGGTAATTGTGAGGCTCTTGCTTATGTATGAGGAGCTGGGGACTAAAGTGGGCAGGGCAAGCAGTCAGAAAAGATTGATGTAAAGTGGGAGAAGCAGGAAAAACCTGGAACCTCCAAGACGAGCTGGAACACACAGGATGGACTAGAACCCTTATGGATTTCTCACCATCTCTAAACCTCCAAATACGATGATGGGAGTGACACAGAAAGAGTTGATGCCCTTCATCCTTGAGCTACAGGTTGTCCTGGCCAAGGAGTCAGAGAAGGTCAAGGAGGAAATTCAGCAGGAGCCATAGTAGCTCACTCCTGATTGCTGTCTCAGGTCAACAGGGTGGGCCAGCAGATAAGCAAAAATATGCTGCACCAGTACTTTCCAAGCATGAAAAGAATTTGGCTGCTGCTTCACTTCTGCCTTCTAAATCTCATGCATAATGTCTCTTGTGCAATAACTTGGAATAAAAGGAAAGGAATTCTGGAAAGTATAGTTCAGCTAAGTTGACACAATACAAATCCATTACTGTCCACTCTGTCAACCTGACATCATACACACCTCTTTTAATACACTTAACTTTCAAATAAAGACAGTGGCAAAATCAACCATCCCTTGTATAACCAAAAACATGCTAATTCTCTCCCAATAGAGGATGCAAATCCCTACATCCATCTTTGGGTGATGTTGATTCATCTTTGAGCTGAGTTGCATTCCCCTTTGATATCCTGTGACTTAAGTCCTGAGATATAAGGTTAACTACTATTAACACTTCTTATATTAGATGGTAGGTAAATGGAAGTGACAAATAGAAAAAAAAACTGGTTAATGTATACACAAATGTATTCATATAAAAATAAGGAAGAAATATTCCTATCACAGACTTTGTTTCTGCAACTGCTCAGATGGTCATAGCTGGTATTAAAACTACGTTCTTCCACTAGCCATTTCATACCCCCTTTGCCTACAGTGAGCACCTTGGCTATTCATGGTTATTTGGTGTGATGACCCATACCTTCATTCCTAAATGGTCTGGGTCATTACTGATCCTGCCTGTATTGGCTGTAGTTTCCCCAATACTGTCTTTAATCACAGGACATGGGAGTACTAAGAAATGCCCCAGAAGATATCATGCATTCCAGACACACTCCTCCTTAGCCAACCATTGTATGGTAGCAACTCAGTTTCCCCTTGATAGTCAGATCAGATCAATCTAATGGACTAATGTGATATCCTGTGAAATGGAGAGATGATCAAGGTCCCTGCAAACTAGATTATGGCATAGGGCTGGGGTGCTCACGTAGCCCTGACAGTGGACAGTGAAAGTATACTGCTGGCCCTGCCAGGTAAAAGCACACTACTTTTGATGGTCGTTACTAAAAGGGATACAGGAAAAAGTAATCAACTAGATTAACAGCTGCAAACCAAATAGCAAAGGTTGTATTGATTTGCTCTAGCAATGAAACCACACCTGGACAGCAGCCAGAATCAGAGTGATCTCCTGATTAAGTTTATAGAAATCCATTATCATTCTCCCAAATCCATCTGTCTTCTAGCCAAAGAGGCAAATTGAATGGGGATATGGTAGGAATCTCTAGCCTGGCATCTTTAAAGTCCTTGATGATGGCACTAATCTCTACAATCCCTCTGGGAATGCAATATTGCTTTGGTTTACTATTTGGTAGATAGAGCCACTTAGAATGGCTTACTTTTGGCTCTCCCACCCTAGCAGCACTTACTCTACAGGTCAGGGAGCCAATGTGAGGACTCTGACAATTGCTGAGTATGTCAATTCCAATTACACCTTCCAGAACTGGGGAAATACATACAGTGGGTTCAAAGACCCACCAGGCCAACTGCAAAATAGACCCACAACAAAACTCCATTGACCACTTGACCTCCGTAAACTCCTAGTTTGGTAAACCACACTAATTCTCCAGGCATTAGTATCAATTCAGAACCAATATTTAACAATCTCCCACAATATTTCACTATTCACCCTAGTGAATGGCCACAGGTCCCTTTGGGGAAGGCCAGAAGGAGGATTTATAGTATTTACATTTTTGGCTGTGTAACAGGGTCTTTCCTTAAGGAGATCTGACATCTCCATTATTCAAGGGACTTTGAGTCTGTGAATTAATACAAATCTTGGAATTAGTGAAGGGGTCATGGCTCTCTCCTGTGATGAGTCAAGCCAAACTTCTGTTCATCAAACCTTTTCTGCCTATATGCTGCCCACCACTTTCAACTTTAGGGACACCCTAATCAGTTAGCCAATGCTAAAGATCTTTGTGGATTAGACTATTCTGATCACTGCTTAGGTTTTGCTGCCCATCACAGTAATCATGCTTTCCTTGTCTTTGTCTGTTAAATGCAGCCACTTGACCCCTGCCACCTCAGGAGACCATCGTCCCCAGTGAATGCAGGGAGCCCAGCAGTTCCCACTGTCATTTCTAGCTTACAAAAAATAGTTACCATAGGGGCTGGCCCCGTGGTCGAGTGGTTAAGTTCGCGCGCTCCGCTGCAGGCGGCTCAGTGTTTCGTTGGTTCGAATCCTGGGCGCGGACATGGCACTGCTCATCAAACCACGCTGAGGCAGCGTCCCATATGCCACAACTAGAAGGACCCACAACGAAGAATATACAACTATGTACTGGGGGGCTTTGGGGAGAAAAAGGAAAAAATAAAATCTTTAAAAAAAAAATAGTTACCATAGAACTCTTCAAGGATGCCAGGGCTCCCTTCACAGATGTATTTCTCACAGTGTTGGTGAAGGGAGTAGATATATTTAGGGGGTGAGTGAGAAGGATAAAGCCACTCTAACATTCCAATCTCCCTAAGCCTTTGGATACCTTCCTCGATGGCAGGGTTTCTCAATCTCAGCACGACTGACATTTTGGACTGGGTTATTTTTTTTTGTGGAGCGCTGTCCTGTGTATTACAAGATGTTTAGCAGCATCCCTGGCCTCTACTCACTAGATGCCAATAGCACCCACCCACTCCAAGTGTGACAACCAAAAATGTCTCCAGACATTGCTAGATTTCCCTGGGGAACAAAACTGCCCCAGTAAAGAAGAATCGCTGCCAGGAGAGAATCACTGTTCTACCCTGGAAGTACACCAAGGAAGTTCTGGCGTTTCACCTTCATTTAGTGGAGATTACCTATTGGTCCGAGATTCAGTCATTTTCAGACAGGGATGGAAGGGCTGTTTCTACTGGCAAAGGAGTCTCAGTAAAATATAGGGGTTTGAGGATCCAGTTCCACTGAAATCTGCCCATTTGTCCCTATCCCAATTTTCAGAGTCCCACTCTTTCCCAAAGCAATACCCTAACTTTAACATAAGAGACTTTGTGAGGTTGGGAATTTAATCTGGGTTGTGATTAGCCACTCACAGGATTAGACCCTGTGTATGGATTTCAAAAATATCAGCCTCATGGCTGCAGGATTTAAGAGTTTCTTTCTGGAAAGTCATAAAACTTTCAGGTCCCTCACAGGACCTTGAAGCTAGGAATTAAAAGCCCTGAGCCCACCATTGTTTTCCCAAGTTCTCCAGCACACTTAGAAGTAACCAACCGTATTATATTCTTTATTTCCACTAAATGTTCCATAGCAGCAAGTGCTTGATCACCCAAAGCCTTGCTTTCTATAGACACTTGACTAAGGGTATCTGTAGGAAATAATTTTTTAAAAAGTTTTGCTACTGCACGCCATGGACTGCTAGCATCCTCTTTAGCACTGAAAAAAATGGTCATCAATACCTTTAAATCTAATGAGATCAAAGAACCAATTCCAGATAACTCAGACCAGAGAACCTATCTTCACGGTTATGTTCCTCCGGAAGCTTCTGATACCAAATTCTGTATCAATCAGGGTTCACACAGAGAAGCAAAACTACTAGTAGTGATAGATAAAAAGGGATTTATTATAGACATATGATCCTAAGCAATTTTGGGAGCTGGTTAAACAGTCCATGTTAGGCTGTTGCTTGTGTTTCTAATGCTGGGACCTGAAGTTATTAGCAAGGCAGCGATTGGGAAGGAAAAATAAACTGGAATATGCAAGGATGAGCTGGAACCCACAAGGACAGATGGATATTTGAGTCAGTCTCTTACTGACTCCAACTCTGATCATAGGGTGAGCTGTAGGAGAAGCTGGCACCGTCTATCATGGAGCCAATCCACATCTGGCCTAGAAGCCAGAGAAGCTAGAGGAGGCGATCCAGAAGGAGCTGAAGGGTTTATGGGCCTGACTGCTGGCCAACAACAATGAGAGGAGCTAGCAGTAAACAGGAATATGCACAAGCTGGTATCCCAAACCAAGCCTTCCAAGTGTAAAAGGAATGTGGCAGCTGCTGCTTCAACTTTCACTTTCAAATCTAAGCAAAATGTCTCTTGTGAGCCAAGCTAACCCAGAAATATGCAGTGAAGGGAATTCTGGAAAACACAGTTACACTCAGCTAAGTTGATATAAAACAAATCCCCGATAGATTTATATGGTTGCAAGCAGAGGAATAACAAGAAGTGAGCCAGTGAAGGGTTTAAACAGGGGAGTAACATAGTCAGAATGGCAGTTTAGAAAGATCCGTTTTTTATAGAAAGATCAGAAACAGGCAATATGAAACTGTTTGTTTAGGAATACTGAACCAACAGTCACACCATAAAGACAAGGAAGAAAACTATTATCATAAAACTCAGAACAGTGGTTACCTATGGAAAAGAGAGGGGAATATGATCAGAAAGGGAAAGCTGAGAGGCTTCTAGGTTGCCTGCAATATTCTATTTCTGTCCATAATTACAGGTGTTCACTCTACAGCTATTTGTTAATCTGGTCATTTAAGTTTTATCTACTATTTTCCATGCATATTATATTTCACCATGAAAAAAACGTAAGGAGAAAAAATGACTTGAGATGATTTGCAAAGGAGGGGAAAAAATAAAGACAAAAAAGACAATTAGATGATAATTGGATCTGAATTAAGGCAGTGGCAATGGAAATAGGAGAAGATTAATTCTAGAAGTATTAAGGACTTGGCGTCTAAGTGATTGGAAAAAGTTAGGAAGGAGGAATCAAGGATGATTCCTAGATTGCTGGTTTGGGCAACCAGATGAAAGCTTTGCCTTTCACAAATATAAAGAACCTAGAAGAACAGGTTTAGTGGGAGGGTGAGTGCATACTGGACAAAACAATAATAACTAACACTTAATGAGTGCTTACTATGTGCAAACTACACATATATCATTATCTCATTTAATCTTAATAGATACCTATTCTGACACCATCTGGTGTACTGCAATATAATTCAATACTGATGCTAACCACCTGGAGCTCACATCAGATGCCACAGATTTAAGGACATGGTTCCCGTAAAGACTGCCCTTACTTAAGACATCAGCTTTTGGGGGTCCCCAGGCCACCCACACTTCTGACCAACTGGCTACAAATTCAGGGGTTCTCAAGACTCCCTCAAGTTTGACATTTCACTAGAACAACTTACAGAACTCAGGAAAGTACTATACCTACAATTATAGTTTTATTATAAAGTATACAAACCAGCACCAGCCAAATAAAGAGACACATAGGGTCTGGAGGGTCCAAAACTTCAAGCTTCTATGCCTGTGTCTACAAGTTTCTCTCTGTGGAATCAGGGCATGTCACCCCCCCAGCTCATCAATGTGTTTACCAACCAAGAAACTCCACTGAGCTTCAGTGTCCAGAGTTTTTATTAGGGCTTCATTATGTAGGCATGATTGATTGAATTATTGGCCATGTGACTAAACTCAATCTCTGGTCCTACTCCCTTCCCTGGGGGTTTAGAACCCTCTAATCACATGGTTGGTCTTTCTGGCATGACCAGCCACATCCTGAAGCTACCTAGGAGCCCACCATGAGTCACCTTGTTAGCATAAATTCAGGTATGATCTAAGGGACTCATGAATAACAAAGTTCCAAATGCTTGGAACTTCCATTAGAAGCTCTATGCCTGGAACTCTGGTCAAAGACCAGATAAAGTCTTTATTAAACAACATTTTACTCTGTGAGGTAGGTACTGTTATTATCTCATTTTACAGAGAAGGAAACTGCAGCTTAGAAAGGAAAAGTTACTTGTTCTCAATCACCTGGGCAATCCACTCCAGAGCCTGAACTCTTAATTTTATATTATACTGACTGAGATGCCTATGGCAGATGTCTCCCAATTAGAGTACTCATACCCCAGGAGATATATTAAGGAGATCCATGGGGATGTGGGAAGCAAACATTTTTATCTTAAAAACAAAAAAGCTTTACTAATAAACAGACTGACCATACTACATTTATATTGTTTATAAAAAAATGCACATTTTGAGGACATGCTCAACATATTTGCTCATGTACAATTTAAAAGTTTGGAGACCACCTATCTATGAGATGTGAAAATGTCACATATAGTATAATGAATGTATGAGTCTGACACTCAGAAGAGAGATCTAACTTAGAAATCTGACTTAGTTTACCAGTGAAGGAACAGGTATGAATAAGGTGAGAAAAGAGTTGGGATCAGAACTCCAGAGAACACCAACATTTAAAAGGCAGACACGAGTTAAGAATTATCTGTGTCTAATAAGCACAGGGAAATGAGTCCTATAATTCTCTCTAAATCTAAGAATGTTATTTCCATAGACACCCACAATGATTCAAGTTTAAAAATTTTTTGGCTTGAATTTTATACATCTATGATATTATAGTACTATTTCATTAGAAGATCATGCAGACATCTGCCTCACTTTGCTATCACGTTGAGAAGAGAACTAACTTACTGATTCTTTATCCTCTGTGCACTCTTTAAAGATATTAACCAGCAGTGTCAGAAAGAAAGCAGAAGGAAAATGAAGGATTTAGTTTAGACAATCTACTGTATAGCCGATGGCTTGATAATTGCTATGGACCAGGAAGTGGGGTGAATTTGTGGTTTAAATCTGTGACTCCTTAACTTGCTTTGAGTATGAACATTTGCTGACATCTCTAGAATTCAGTGAAGTGGCTCCTCTATTCCTCAGGCTATTTCCCCAGCTACTTCCCCCTTTCTGCATAGCCCTGGGACCTCATCCTTGTGGAAGATATACATCTATCTCATCTGCTGAAACTCACAGCTAATTTACCCACTAGACTGTAAATCCCTAGAAGCAGGGATTAGATCCACTCACCTTTGTTTTCCTCAGGATACTGAGCACAAGTAGACACTGAATAGATGTTTGCTAAGTTGAGGTGCCTATTATTTTTATCTTAGTATCTAGCCTAATCTTCCCACTTTCCTAACTTTTTCACCAATATTTTAAAATTCAAACTTTAGGGTGGCATGGTAACATCATAAATTTAGATTTAGATTGATCTTAAAGGCCTCTTAGTTTTGTTTTGTTCGGTTTATTTTCTGGAGCCATTTGTATGATCCAAACCAAAAATTAGTGAGTTGGAAGGCATTTGTTTTTAAACTGTGGGCCAGTTTTGGAAGAAATTCAGTGTCTGTTTCCCATGGATACTCTGTTGATACACATCTTTTTGTTCCTAGGTGTTCTCTATTCTATGTATAAGGATTACATTAGACCTCGATTCTTCAATGTGTCCAAAAAATGAAGTTACATACAAGAGAGATAAGAAGACTTCTGAAAACCATTTATTATGAAGAATTTTCAATACGTAGCAAATTAAACTGCAGAAGTATCAGACAGAATTCTCATAGTATTGTATAGTAAGTCTCAATTGTTTAAGAAGTTGATTTCCAAATCAACAATCATAGTCAACTCAAAAATATCCTTGCTGATGTCTTTCAGAACCTAGGACATGATTTTCTAACTTTCAAAATTTTTATTTTCTAGTTAGTGGCAGAAAATAATTTATATTATGCCAAACCAATTTGAAATTTAGGAGTCAGTTATATAATGGCTACAGAAAAAATGTTCTATATCCACATTAAATGTGACACACTGCTCATCGCTTAATTCTCCCCAAATAGGGCAAGGTAATTAAGGCTTTATAAACTCCCTTTTTGAATGACCAAGAATTACATCAGAGGAGAATGGTCATGTTATTATTTAAATTTGTTTCACCACTGTGTACCTACCTTACTCTTATATAGAAACTTGACTATTTTACCACAAACATAAATGTCTAAGATTTAAATATCTACATATTTTTATACTTCTTGGAAGTATTTCTTGGAGTACAAAGGTAAATTGCTAAAAAATCCCTTTTCCCCCAGATGGCAGTATTGTGGGGGTGAAAAGATTTAGTCCCAATGTGCTACTGCTAATCTGGTATGACACTGCAGAAGACACAAGAAACCAAAATAGACATGAAATGTTAAGTATACCTGTGACCTCAAACTCCCCTGTAACTGCCCTAGCATTCTAAAAAATTAACTAGACTTTGTTGAAGTTATAACAGTCATAACTGAGATTTACTCCCTAAGACTCAAAGCCTGGGAAAGAAAACTAAAAAAAAAAGTATTCGCTGAAATAAAATAAAGAATGCACTGTAAGACGATCTGTGGTGGTGGTTTCCTTTTCCTTGATGTTTCCTGTAGTGGAGGGTTACTCTGACAGGAAGACGAAATCCAGTGTTTGGGGAAGGGAAAATTGTAGGAATATCTGAAAATACATCTGCATTAGAGATATTAATCCCCTGTTGTATGTATACACTCGTCTCCTTTGGCACAGGTAATTATTTTAAAAGTTGTCATTTGTACCTATCATGAAGCTCTTCTAGTGGCAACAACAGGTACACATATTTTGGTCAACACTGTCCTCTTTGGAAAATAGGCATCGGAAGAGTCCAACTACTTTATTCCACTAGAGTAAATATTCCAGCAGCTGGATCTAATATGTTCCATGAAGGTCAGGAAAATTGAGGAGAGCTGGCATAGAAATGTCATTCTTCACGTTGATTACACAACGAAAAGATATTTCTAATTAGGCTACTGGAATGATTCCACTCTCTCAATATATACTCAGCATTAAAAATAGAGGAACCGAAGTATTTAATTAGGAATGGGCTTTTCTCACAAAACCCAATAGGTTCCAGAATTTTCTAACCTTACTCTGAGAGAGCTAAAGTAATACACTTAATGCTTATAAAAAGCAATGCAAAGTATTTATATATTAAAAGTAGCTATGCATGAGAACTCAAAAATTGTGTTTAAATTAAAATGTAAAATCATACATGGAGAAAAGTTAGAAGTATGCAGGATGCTCATTTACCCATATTAGCTTGGGTGAAGAGGGAGGGTCACGTTGCAGGAAGATCCTTTAAATAGATAATATACAGTACCTGAATTTGCACAGTACTTCTGGGGCAAAGCTTTGGTGGCTTAGTATCATAATGTTTAAAATTGAGAAGGCTGTTTTCATTGGCTACTGTAACCCCTGATACCTCAATTACCAATTAAACTATTTCACATGCCCGGAGATGCCCTGACTCCCTTTTATATTAGGCCTACACACAGTTATGTAGCAGCTGCTGCTCAGCAACAATTATTTAATTGCACTTTTGTGACATTCTGGGTCTACATTGTCAGAGCATCCTTTTACAAATTGACTCCACACTGTTAAACCCCAGGAACTGAGTGAGTGTATGCCTCTAGGTTAATCTTAAGAGTGAATATATTAATATCTATATTAGCACATAATATAGAAATCCAGATTTGTAAATCATAAATTAGAAAATGATTAAATGTTCACTAAACTTAGCAAAAAAAATTTACCCAAGACTCAGTCTTTAGACATCAATCTCCTCTACTGGTTTTAGCATGATTCACTTTGCTTTATTATCAAATTTTCTGATTACAGGAGTTGTATAACCTGAGAGGTATACTTATATATAAATCTTTGTAAACTCTAGTCTGTTCCTAGTAACATACAGTTGAAGAAGGGAGAAGAGCTACAGAAATCCCCAAGGTACTTAATCTCTGTATAACCATCTACCTCACCTTTTTATGAGTTGCAAAACAGGATATTTTTTGCCTTTTTTTTCTTTCCCCAAACATTTTCTGGTAATGAAACTACTGAGAAATTAAATTGCCCAGGGAAGGAGGAAAATCCAACAAATTGATTCATCTAGAGTTGCTGTCTGTGTATAAAAAAATCAAAACACTGAAACTCATTCTAAAAGGCTCTTTTTCAAGTGACAGCCAATAAGTGATGTTAATTCAGTTTCATTTTAAGATCAGAAGGACTTGTAACCTGGGTTGCTGCAAGGCTGCTGCTCTTATCAGAAGTTTCAAAGGCCCCTGAAGTAGAAATGAGAGAATTTTAAAGTATCATCTTAGAACAATCCCTGCCACTTAGAGGGCCAAGTCATTAAAAATGAAAATAAGCAATGTCTGTTTTTTTTTTTTTTTTAAGTCTTATTGAAAGGTACTAAGTTTTAAAATAAGGCAGAGGTCAGATATTTAACTTTTATGCTGAAAGAGGAAAATGATGCTCAAAGTTATACAAAGGCTACAGGGTTTGCAAACTCACTGCCTTTGGGAATGGAAGGAAATGAGTGAAGTGGGGTGTATGCCACCCTGGAGTATATTCTATTACAAATGGATAGCTGCCATTCAATTCCAGTCAACTGCACTTTTATGCAGGAATGTGAGTCCAGTGTTGAAAATCTTCTGACTTTTTGATCAGATAATTATGCAAAAACTTTCCATTTTTAAATATTGTTTTTTATTATAAAAATTTTAAAGAAAAAAATCCTGGCTACACAGAGGGGTCAAAAAAAAAAATCTATAACCCATATGTAGGCAGGAAGTTTGTGACATATGGACTAATCTTCCAAGTCACAGTCTGGTTCTAATCTCATGCTACTTGGCATAAGTATCTTAAAATAAAATGCTTAGCATTCCCTCTAAGTCAACATTAGAAATATTAGCCACTCCTGGAAACAGACTTTGGACCTAGAAATGGTGTTTGGGGTGTTAATGGGAAAAGTGAGAAGAAAAGACATGATAGGACTATACGAACATTAGGAAGAAAACTAATACCTCTATTATCTTCTGTTGGGACTTACAAAGTTAAATGCTGGAAGTTTCTTCTTTTTATACCTAAAATTTGAATGCTAGAAGGGGCTGAGTTACAATGCAGCATGGAAAACTGATCATTGGCTAAAGTATATTTTCTGGATCTTGTTACTAGGTATTATTAAGCTCTTTGGAAAATGCCATCATATCTCTGAAAAATTCAAGAAAAGCAACAACAAAGAGAATAATTACAAAGCACACCGGTAACCAAGATTAAATATAATTGCCGAATAGAAGAAATGTTTTCTTTAGAAAGATCTGCTAGTATCAGTAGTTACTAAGAGTCTGGTCATTCAAAATCGAAGTGAAATTTAACTGGCCATAATCAACCATCACTTTAAAAGGTAAGTCAGTTTGACCAGTTCATTCTGAAAAAGAGCACGATTCCCTTTCTTTTCTCACTTGTGATCTAGACAAAACTAATATCTGATTTATCTAAAATGTTTTTTAAAAATACAAAAGATCTATCAAATTTATATAACCTTAAAACTCTACCCAAACTGATATGTTCAGGTTTATATAAATATATATACATATATATTTTATAAATTCCAGAAGTCAAGACACAAGCCCATGGGGGTGTGTGGCCATCACAGGCCAAACATTTAACTCTGGCTGTTGTAGGACTGTTGTGAGGTGGGTGGGTCTCTGACCTACACTTAGAGCTGTCAGCTTTTAAGACTCTTCCCATGAGGAAATCTTGGCTTTTGTTCAAAACATTTGAACAAAACTCACCTCTGAACAAACAGAGATATGTTAACAGGACACTTGGCACAAAAGGACTAAGACAAAGTGGTTCTTATACAGTCTCTCAGGCTGTCACTCATCTAGACACAAGTGAGTCAGCATCCACGGTGTTCAGAAGGTAGAGTTCAGGCTGAGCTGTCAATCCCAGATGGTACTATGGACAAAAAGATGGAAAAGGGTTAGACTGATTTGCAAGTATTTGAATATTAAAATTGGCACTTAAGTACCTATAATCAGCATATCAATCTAGGCCTTTTTTCAGTACCACTATATTGATTTTTATTTCAGAAAAGAAATGGCTTACAGATACATGAAGGATTTATGGTACATAAAATAGCTAGGAGCTGAAATAGTTAAGGATTGAGATAGTGCCAAATACCCTCAGCAAAATTTGCACTTTGACTATTCTCATGTCACTCCACCTCAGATGGGTGCTCCTGATAAGGCTATTAAGAGCAAACACACGGAGTGCCTTTGTATTTTAGTACTGTGTGAGTTAGAAATCAAATTTCAAATGGTCTAAATCCTGAACCCTATTATCTGGGCCCCATTCTTTTGTTTTTTTTTTTAAAGATTTTATTTTTCCTTTTTCTCCCCAAAGACTCCCGGTACACAGTTGCATATTTTTAGTTGTGGGTCCTTCTAGTTGTGGCATGTGGGATGCTGCCTCAACACGGCCTGATGAGCGGTGCCATGTCCCTGCCCAGGATTCAAATGGGTGAAACCCTGGGCCACTGAAGTGGAGCACGTGAACTTAACTGCTCAGCCACGGGGCCAACACCCCCCATTATTCTTTAGCACTGAGAGAGAAAAGCCTTTCATTAGGGAAAAAAATACACCATAAAATGGCATGTGCTAAGAGAGAGGGAAATGACCTTTGGGTCCCAAATGTTTGTCAGGCTAAATCAGAATCACTTCAGCTACTTTAAAAACACACTGCCAGACCCCAGTCCTGGAAACCGGAATCCAGATGCTTTGTGTTGGGATTTGTGAAGTTGCATTTTACTCTTCTTCTCTCCTCTGCATACATTGTGGGACAATCATTGAGTCTCATTTTAGCCCTACTGTTACTACTTAGGACTTTAGGAATGTTACTGCCCCCTGGCACCAACAGCCTGTGAGTTAATGCAGAATGCGGACTATAAATTCATTGGAAGAAAATATTCCTATTACAGTATAGTGGAAAAAGCACTGGAATTGGGTTCAGGCTCTAACTATGCCACTTCCTTTGAACTTGAGCAAATCATGGATCCTTCTGGAGCCTTATCCTACTCATTTATAGAATGGGAATAAATTTGAAAATGCTAAGAACATCAATATGCTATCTGATGTTAGTCTTCAAGTGAGTATAGTGGGTTGTTTTTAACACATTACAAATTGTCTGGGATTGTAATGACTGTGTGAAGCTAAGACAAATGGAGCCCAAGATAAAACTAGTCTCAACTAGTGGCCTAGGGAATTACTGAGTCACACTGGCCTTGGAGCAGAGAAACAGCTTTTCAGACCTCAGCTTGCTTAATTCACTTTGGGTCTTACATCTTACGTTTTAGTAACCAAGAGTAATTGTCAAATACACGGACAATCCATTGCAGCCTTTTCTCAGCTGAGCTGAGGTGGTGGGCTTCCTCATTGCGTAGTAAACAAAGGTTGCAGTATTATTTTAGTCCCATGATCCCCAGAGGTTATCACTTAGAGGACTTGGTGGACAGAACTCCATCACTGGAGAAATTTGTCATATTGCTCTGAGACATTGAGAAATGGGGTTAAATGGCTCAGGAATAGGCTAAAATATTTTCAGGAGCAGAGAGGTAATGCAAATGAGCAAGCTTACTATAAGTTCTTAGTTACTGCTGGGGTAGAATCAGAGGGCCCTGCCCATTTTCTATGCCTGCCAAGAAGCATTCAAAGTTACTTTTTAAAATTTAGCAGAGGCCAAACAAAATTAGTCTGCCAGTTGGCAGTTTCTAAGCTAAAACATATTCTAGCACTAATCAGAGTATCAAGCAAATGCTTCAATGTGTTGATGTTGCTGTGCTGCACACCAAAGCTTGATGTCTTAGCCTCACATGAAGGGTGTACTATATATTATATAGGATGGTTTGGGAATGATAACATGGGCTCCGGAGTTAAGCTATTCAAGTTCAAATGCCAACTGCCCATTTATTACTGATGTGATTTGGGGAAGTTACTTTACTTTTTGGCCTTTGAGTTGCTTTATCTATATAGAGGCTGATCTTCTTGTTATAAGAACTAAATGAGGTCATATGAGTGCTCACACCAGGACTAGCTTATAGTAATAAATGTTAGCCACTTTTAATGTTCATAAGCTAAGGTGCCAAGAGAAGCTGGCGCATTTAGAATCATTGTTCCTATCCAATGAAGGAGCAGAAAGCATTCCAGAGGGCAGAGCTAAAGGAAATGTCTCAAAATCGGGACCTTCACATTGTTATGCATCCTATCTTAGTTCTGAAATCAAACCCAAATTAAGAACGGAGAGCTAAATGACGAGGGACAACATGGAGAACAGAATTCCCAGATCACTTCTCCAGTGTCACTTACAATATTAGGCTCCTGTGAGACAGAGAGGGAAAGCTTGCAACAGAGAAAGGGAACAGGAAGTTCTAGTGACTCTTAGGACAAATGAAGTGCTGACTTTGCTGTCGAGTCTGGCGACAGGGCTGGGAGTTTACTGGGCCTGAGCTTTGTTTTTGTTAAATGGTGCCAATATTTCCCTTTATATCACATCTGCCAAAATGCTCATTCATTTCTAAGCTAAACAATTTGGTTTCTCTTTTCAAATACTCATACTTTTTATTGGTAGCACATACAGAATATACAACCTTACTTCACTGGTGAAAACAAGACGACAGATATAAAAATGTTCGGCTTAGAGCAGAGAAGGGCAGAGTAACAATGTTTTTCAACTTTAACTATGGTAATGATGTGACCTTGAGCAATAGCAAAACTATTTGACTAAGTGGGTAAACAGAAATTAGTGTCTGGGGTCTGCAATCAAGTCTTCTGGGGACTAAAAATATTTATTCCTCTATCCCTTCTAAAGAGAAAATCACTAACAGTGTGGGCTTAATATGTCATTCCAGGTGGTAACTGATGTTTTGGTATTTCAAAGTTTTTGAGACTCCATTAATAAAGTATTCTCAAAGTTAAAAAAAATACCCAGGAAACCAAGTTGGGAAAAGAAAAGTTTTTTTAATTACAAACCAAGTTTACACACTGTTAAGTGGTCACTAAAAGCTCAGTGGTGAGCACACCCAACGCCACTAGCAGGACCTCACAGGAGCCGGGCTGCAGATCTTCCCCATCACTTTTTGTTTTGTTTTGTTTTGTTTTTTAAACTTTTTTTTTCTACTTTTTCTCCCCAAATCCCCACAGTACATAGTTGTATATTTTAGTTGTGGGTCCTTTTTTCCTAGTTGTGGCATGTGGGATGCCGCCTCAGCATGACCTGAGGAGTGGTGCCATGTCCGTGCCCAGGGTCCGAACTGGTAAAACCCTAGGTCACCGAAGTGCAGTGCGCGAACTTAACCACTCAGCCACGGGGCCGGCACCCCCATCACTGTTAACTCCAGTATACTGTAGCAGCAGCACAATTATTTCATGTCACATTTATGGAGAACATTTATGGGATCAATTTACATACAGTACAATTGTATATCCTTAAACATTCTACACAAACACACTGCACATGCTGGCATTAGAAGCCAAGTTCTAAACATTGTTTATAGCACCCAGAGTACTCGTACTTGTTAAGGTACATTTTCTAAGAGGATCAAACGGAATACGGTGTGGGAGTGTAAAATACGACACACATAGTATTATAAAATGCCATTTAACTGGGAAGAAATTTTCCATCCCTGAAAATCATAAATATAACTTTTAAAAGAAAACAAGCAGCTTTTATCTGGGCTTCTAAATATTTGTGAGTCTGAGACTGACTGGACTCACCCAGACTCAAGGCAAAGGTAAATGTTACTGTGCTGTCTTTACAAAGAATCTTTTTTGTCAATTTGACTTTCACCTACTACAGCCAGACAAGAGCTTAAGATGTCAGTCCCTGATGTCTCCACAGAGTGCCCTTATGACCAGTTTGAGAAGTGATGGTAGGGGAGAGGGGCGGATATGAGGAGGAACAGTTAGGGAAATTTGTCTTTCATGATCCTGTGCTATATTACTTAAGGGCTAAGATAAAGGTATGGTCAGTGAAACACAGTAGTTTACCCTTAATGCCTTGTAAAAGACAATCCATCCAGTCTGTGCTTTTGACTGTGTGCAAAATATCATCAGTAATGCCTTTAGGGGCTCAGATGAACGGAGAACATCAATCAACCAGGACTCCAGGAGGAAAGCTCCAAAACTGAGAAGTCCTTCAATGCCATTCCCATTACTGTCCTCATCAAGTCAATGGCTACAACAGACTTGATTATCTCCACCAGACAAATGTGATTTGATTTGAGACAATCACATAGTCTCAGGCTCCACATGTAAAAATGTCAGAAGTGGCTGAAGAGAAGCAGCTTCATGCTGAAGGGACCCATTTCCTCTGACTCCAGAGCTCCACCGTCTGGTCTCAAAGTTTTTCCCTCTGAGGGATGGGTTGAAGAGAGGTAGCCCAGTGCAACCTTGCTGAGAGAGAACTTTGCAACCATAGTGACACCTGTTGACTTGCTGAGAGAGAGGGAGAGAGCTTTGCAACGGTTAGGTCCACAGCTCCTGAGACTGTCGTGCAAGTTGTCTTGGACATGCATCAGAAAACCATGACGATTCTGGCAGGAGGTGGCTTTCAGGAGTAAAACAAATGGCTGCTCTTCTCCTTTCAAGTCTTTTTGCCTCACCCCAAAGTCTGATGAGAACGTCAGTTCATAAACATTCCCATCTTTTTTATTACTATCCTCCTGGAGGAGGCAGTGAAGATTTTACAACTCTATATGCTCGAGAGTAAATATCATCCGGAAAGGTCTGTTTTAACATGATTAAAACAGGGACTCCTGGGAAAATCCTGATAAACTTTCAATCTCTGAGGAAAATCTTCAAAGTAATTTTCAAAGGTAATTAGTAACCACCTTCTACAGGTGAGTTTTGCTATTTGTCCATTTATTTATGCTTTCTCATCCTTCATAACTTCCACTCAGAAATCTGAAGTGGAAATTACTTGAAAGAATCCTGAATCTGATAGAGGTAAATGTCTCATACTTTTATATTTAATATGGACAAAACCACTCTAGTGGAGATTTTATTTTTTATAATTAAAAGAATTGAAAGAGTATGCATAAGGAAAGTATTTCCCAGCCTTTTAGAATCCATTATCTTTTGATAAACAAAACTTGCATACCCATTTGGTAATTTGTATCATGAAAAACTTACTGCATTTTCCAAGTACGTTTTTTTAACATATAGCCTGGTTAAGAATCACGCATAGAGGATTCTCTCTCAAAAGGATAAAACAAGTTGGCCCTTGGGCAGCTCTTAAGAGTTTAGTGTTGGAACGATAGCAGCAAATGTCAGTTTTTCAAAGATCCTACCTAATCCAGTTCCCAGGTTAGGACGTCAGGAAGAAAAAAAAAATCCCATCTTTCAAACATACATGAAACAAAGTCTTCCCCAGCAAATAGTTGAGTCCTAAATGCAGTTTGTGCAACAGCACATACTTTTGGCTATGTTCACACAGTAAACCATAGAAACACACTGGCTCTGATGGCTACCTGCGGAAGACAGACAGACTGATCCAGTGTTTACTTAGTATAGCCACTGGTGGCTTCTTCAGTCAGCAGGACTTTAGAGATGCTTACCGTGTGCCCACAGTCCAGGAAGGACATGCCCAGTGCAATCATACATTGCCAACTCTGGAAGATAAAATATGGTCATCATTTACCAGCCTCTCTGAAGAGCCCTCTTTCCCACCATGACTGCTCACACTGCACCACTCAGATGCAAACCTGCTCTCTTCCGTGAACATCTGGCTTTGCCTGTCTTCTACCACCAAGGCTGCCCAAATCATTCTGTCAACCCCACACTCCCTTCAAAACATCCTGGAATCTGCCTTCCTCAACAAAATTTTTCTATACTATTTTCAATACTGAGTTCCCTCTGTTCATACTGCTTTGTGTTTGTGGTTTGTTTGTTTTCTCTGACTGGGAGTTCCCTGAAGACCACTTTTCTTCAGTCCTACCCCATTCCTCACGATGGGGGAATGAATGACAGACTAACAACTGGAACAGTTCTTGAGCTGCTCTATGACGTACATGTTTTGGAGCTAAACAGAATCTAGAATCAGCCCTCAGCCTTCAAAATGGGTCTTCAACAATCTCAACAGTCTCAGGCTGACTGAGGACAACTTAGGACCCTCATAACCAATTTGCATGAAGGAAGGATTCCCTTAACTTCTACAGCAAATTATAAAAACAATTCCTGTCAAGGACATATTCAGTTACTTGGGTTTCCTTGGAGTAAGGCCCTAGATTACAGGGTCAGCATAATCTTAGTGTGCCCAAGATTTACCAGGGAAGAAAAGAGAAGGGCTATATCAATCCAGGACATAACTTTTCAATATTCACTAAAGTATTTTTTCAATCAAGTACCTAAGCTGTGGCAAACATTAGCAGGGGGACTAGGTAAGTGATATAAAAATCCACAGCAGGTGTCCAGCCTCCATCCTTAACCATTCTCTGCAGCAGATACTGTATACATTCTGCTGTCCCTAATCCTCAACCCTTGTGTTTTTCAGAGAAACCTGTGCAGAACAGGGAGGTGGATTTGTTGTTGTTGTCGCTGTAGCTGTTTTTCATTAATATAAGTAACATTACAGAAGTTTTGGAAAATAGAGAAAATAACATATCCATAATCCTAGCATCCTAAGACAAATACTATTACCATTTTACATAACTTACTTGACTTTTGAAAAAGATTTTTATCATCTGGGTATACATAATCCTACATTCCTTTTAGATGTGGCTATGGTTTTATAACCATCATTTTTAAATAATTCTAAAATAATTCAGTGAGAGAATATTGCTATTTACTTATTTCCTTATTGTCCAGCTATTAAGTGACAGAGCTGAGCAGGGAGGGCTGTGAATCCACCTGTGACCCATCCCAAAGCTCTGAAATCACACTGCACAGCCCCTTCTCCAACCCCAGCTTGTACACTCTCTACTTTCTATACTGCCGCTCTTCTTTTAGTTCCTCAAACATACTACACTCTCTCGTTAGGAACTGGTAAGAATAGAAACCAGACAGAAGTGACAGAAATAGAAAAATGATAGCTCTTAGGAACCAAAGTAAATTTTATGATTAAAAATACTGTTTAACCATTCCTGATTTAACAATTTCACATAAATTGTCTCAATAACCCAGAGATAGATTGCTACCTGCAGTCTTCTCATTTCCAAGTGTCAGTCAGCCCCACCTCTACCATCCCTGAAACCTATGCCCCTGCCCCCTCCCGACTGGACTTACCAAGTAAAACACAAAGCTCAGATAAGCCACACTGATAACAGCCGCCACCACATACAATGCCACATGGCCTAGTTCCTGGACATAAACCACGACAAAGTACATGTTGATGGAACAGACAATAAGGACCAAGATCCCGCCTGCAATCCTCCAGCCTCTGTAAAAGAAACAGCACAGTGACTGGTAGAATAGTCTAACCTGTCCACACACAGAAAAGGACACTGTGTCTTGTCAGGTAGACAGGACAGGAGTAGGCAACATTTCGAAAGGAACCGAAAAATGGTTCTTAATATGTCTCAGATTAGGTTAAATGAGCCAAAGTTAAACACTGATAGGGAGAAAGAGGAAAAAATAAACTACCAAATAATCCCTATTATTTAAGTTCCTAGAAATGCAACAAGTCATGAGAATCCCTAGAGATGCAACAAATCATTTCAAATACCCAATATCCTTTAAAGATGTATATAAAAGGTAGCTTATGCCTTTCTCATTGAGATCATTTAACATGAAATTAAGGCGCTTTAAACTTCATGGGCTGGAGTTTGAAGAGTTAAAGCCCTAAAAGCTGAACTTTTCCCCCTAGAAATGAAAAATGTGCTTGCCCTCGTTTACTATATTCACAGTCTCCATCTTCTAAGCCAAAGATTGAGAGGGCAGCTCTAGCAGTCATCTCTCAAAGCATATAGTTCCCCTATATGACTCATTTTCTGACTGGACTGTTTGATAAAGAGACCTTTCCCCCACATATCTTTGGGGAACTGAGAGGAGTATACTCACATTCCATTAGCAAAGTCATTCATTACTGGCCGCAAGCTTGTAAGCGTGAGAATGGGTATGAGAGCAAAGGGAAGCTGGAAAAGAAAGAATTAAGATCAGATGGGACTACTGGGGTCCTTGTACCACCCCAGAGAACAGCGCTGTTAGCAAAAGGGAAACAAAGACCCTGTCTCCTCTACCCCATGAGAAATTATTCCCATCATCCCAACATGCTCGAGCATTATGCTAAAATCAGTAAAGTTGTCATGAACCAGCATCAATTAGGATCGCAAGGATCTTTACAAATATTTGTATCTGCCTTGTCTTCTTAATCTCCATAGGACCTAGTAGTTATTTAATGTTTGGTTGGATTAATGAACAATAATTCTGTGTTCTACATGTAATTATAGCTTATAGTTCCCATTCGAAAGGCTTTAACAAATCATGCCATTTCTAAAAGTCTTTTAATGACAGGGATTTCATATACATTTACTGCAAACCAAGACCACGCCTCTTTCTTCCTCTGAATTTTCCCCAGCAGCCAGCACTAGGCTTGGGACCTAAGAGCAATACATTATACTGCCTGACTAAATGGGATGTGAGTTTCCCCAGCTCCTTCCTCACCTGTAAGCTCTGCAGAACATTCAGGAAGTCATTCATCCCTGTTAGATGCTCTACATCTTGGAAGATGGCAACAAGCAGAGTAGGGATGATGGCAATAGAGCGGGTCAGAATCACTCGGGCAAAACGTGACCATTTTAGGTTCAGGAATCCCTGGAAAAAAACACAGAAGCAGGATGAATGTCTGGAAAAAGAAAAAGGTCAAAGGAAGTTCAGGAAGACCTTAGAAGCATGGGATTAAGAAGAAGTAACAAAAAGGCAATGTCCTCTTCCTCTAGTCTATAGCAGTCAAAACACCACGTACCTCCATGACAAACTGGCCAGAATAGGTTCCTGTCATGGTGGAGCTCTGTCCTGCAGCCAAGATGCCCACTGCCCAGATGTAGAGTGTGGCAGGCCCAAAATAACATCCCAGCACAACACCCTGGGAGGAGCAAGAGAGAAAGATATGTATGTGTCAATGATCAGCTTAGATAACACCCAAAACAGCACTTCTCCGTGGCATTTCTCCCTCTTCTTTGCCACGCACCCACCTACACCAAGTGCCGCACTGGGCACTATCCCCAAAGCTAGACCCAGGTCCTGACCTCATCATAAAGGCTTTCAACCTAAATTTTGCTGGATGTCCCGTCACTCCTCAGCCTACTCCCTTCTCTTCTCCAAGGTCCTAAAGCCTTCATCCTCAACCTATATCTTAAATATTTAAAAAAAAAAAAAAAAAGGCCTGCACCACATTTCTCAAATTATATCCCTTAACATGCTATTCTGGAAGATGGTAATAAGAGTGAAGAGAAAGGTCAAATAAATAATTCTACTCTTGGAGGTTCACAATGTAACCAACATAAAAGGAACTGAGAGACCCCAATAAAGAGCACTTTATCAGGAACACTTCCTTTAGTCACCCCAGTTAATATCCTATAGAACAATATACTGTCAACACAAGTTTGGGAATTGCTGATACAATTCATCTTTCCAGCTTATCCTCTATTCCCTCTATGTAATCCAAAATGTTTGTCTGGCATCTGAACCTCTGAAATAAATGACATTCCAGAGAAGATGACCTCAGCTCTGAAGTGAACCCACAGAAAAGACTGGATACTATTCCCAGAATACTGATTCAGGAGCAAAGACCACAAATCTGAAGGTTTACCCCTTTGTAGATGTCCACAGCCAGTGTTGTGTTATCGTTAGGAAAAAGGTGAGTATGGGGACTGCTGCTGTTTCTACACACTTCAACCTGGAACACAAAGCAGTTTAGAAGCAACTTTTATTTTCAAGGCAAGGACCAGATAAGAAGAGGTCTCCTACAGATCACATGCAAGTCATTTATGAGACATAGGCTGGAGGTAAGACACTGGATACAGGTTGTGATGGGGACAGAGACTGGCTGTCATGTCACGTGTGGTCTTCCTCCATAATCTTTCTATACCCCCATGTAATCAAAAATATTTACTGAGTTAGAGTGTGCATGGTAATACATAAATCCTGGGTCATTTTAAATAATGAAAGGGGGAGAGGGCCCTTAAGATGGCTTCAAATATGAGAGGACACCCAGAAGAGGGAGTCCTTAGTCCAAGCAGAACCAGAAATCAGAGGTCTTATAGATGGGAAAGAAAGTGGTGATCAAAACTAGATAGGTGGTCAGGAATCAAGGTGACAGAGAATTCAAATTGACAAAACAGTCTGTCCCAGCCACAGGGTCTATTTTCTGTTTGTTGACTCTTCCCAACCTGTCCTGAACACCAAATGGCAGGACTGGCAGTTGATAAACAGGAAACAAACGAGGATGACAAAGAGCCAAATAGATGTGAAGCCACCAACAGCATAAGGCAATCTTTAGTCTGAGGCAAGCTCCCTTCTTAGCCAAAAGCTGGGAAAGATGGGTCTAAGCTTGGTCAGTCCCCAGACTATAGACCCTGACCAGTGCAGTGATTTAGGGGTCAGCACTGAGGCTAGAGATCTATTTCCCCTGAGGTCCAAGTCATTGTCATATTTTCCTACCCCATTCCAGCCTTCACCTTACCCTCACATTTACTACCACTCATGACCCTGGCTTACTCACCACTTGCTCATTGGTTTTCTCAAAAAATGCTTCAGCAAATACTGAGACAACAAAGACGTTGATGATGAAGGAAACAAAGAGAGCAATACAGGATTCAATGAAAAAGTACTTATTGGCTTCTCGAATTTCCCGCTTATTGGCTCGGTTTATCTGTCTGGACTAGAGAGATAACAAGAGCAGTTATTTTTTGACTAGTTGGAACAAGTTTCCTTGTAATATTTCAAGAGTTTAGAGTCAGCTAAAAGATTTAGAGAGCAAACAATTGACCAGATGAATTATGAGAGAACTCACTTACATCCTAGTTCATTGAGTAAGAACTTCATGACCCTTTGACGACATTGCACACTCCCCAAATAGGGAAGAGTGACTAAGTGACTAGTGAGCTCTTAGTTATTGTGGCTAGAAGAACCACTGACCTACAAAAACAAGCTGATTTCAGTCCTAAGAGGTGTATAACCTTAATTACAAAGGTCTCTGAAATCTCTCAGCAAACTATTGTGTAAGACTGACTGGTAAAAGCCTGTTTGGGCTCCTTTACTCCTGACCTCCACAAGGCCACTCAGGCTTCTGAGATGGAAACACAAGAGAAAGAGTGCACTTTCAGGCCTTTTATGAAGAACTTTAGTCCCAGCTTCTCTGTGGAGTCAGTTATCTCTGGTCACCAAGGGTGATAAAAACAGAGTCCAAGTGTGTGGAGTTTATAAACGTCCAACCATGGGAAAACAACTTGCTCATTCAGGACTCTTAACTGTTGTAAACTAAGTGGTGTCCCTTGCAACTGGTCAGCCCCCCGATGAACGATCCAAGAGGCCACTGAGATAACGGCCTTGCTCACCTTGACTAAAGCAGAATGCAAGTACATGTTGTGTGGCATGATGACAGCTCCCACGATGCCCACAGCCTGCTCAATCTGTGGGGTGCGACAGCCTGAACAGCCCGGCACGAACATGCCCTTGAGTACCTGGCTCTGGCTGGGTCTCACTGTAATATACTACAAACCAAATGACAACTATTAGCCTTTACTGCAAAATGAGACTAAGTACTGGAAATGCTCAGCATCCTTTACTCCTTACAACTCCTTCTTCTTCAACAACTATCTAGGACAATGAGGAATACGGAATTATCAAAAAAGCAAGCAGCGTAAGGGGCTTGCTGCCAGAGGTCAGAGAATTCAGTACCAGGGTATCATATTCTAGATATACAAAATAGATGAGTATAGAATGTAATTAATATTCTAAAGGAATAAAATGGCTGCTAAGTGCCTTATTGATATGAGCTTCACAATAACTCCTATGAGACAGATCCAGAAATACAGAGTAAATTCTGATTATCCACATTTACCATGCTTCTGTTCATCTATGTTCATCTAAAAATCACTTACGTTTGCCACTAGCATATGCTGAGACTCATTCATTAACACTTCTTACATGTACTTTTTCCTGGTTCAGCATTTCTCTTGGAAACCTGAGAGCAAGCTGCATAATCTACTCATAGATTAGATATATTTTTTGGTTTTTTGTGGGTTTTTTTTTTGAAGATTAGCCCTGAGCTAACAACTGCTGCCAATCCTCCTCTTTTTGCTGAGGAACACTGGCCCTGAGCTCACATCCGTGCCCATCTTCCTCTACTTTATAGGTGGGACACCTACCACAGCATGGCTTTGACAAGTGGTGCCATGTTCGCACCTGGGATCTGGACCGGCGAACCCGGGGCTGCTAAAGTGGAATGTGCGAACTTAACCGCTGCGCCACCGGGCTGGCCCTAGATATATTTGTTAAAGTTTAACCAGGCCAATAAGCAGAAATCAGTTTATAACGATTGGACATAGAAAGATGCTCTTACTGCATATAATGGTACTGATTCCCAGGAATGTTTGGGTTGGGGCACAAATCAGGAAATATCCACTATATCCCCTAGTTTTAACTGTTGTAATACAGGGAAAGTTCAAGCTGTAGTTAATACAAACCAGGATAGCAAAACCGAACCCTCTAAGTTAAAAGCCAAGAATAAACCTGTAATCTCCTCCCTAACTTTCTCCAAGGCTGTTCTGTTGTCAGGATGGCCAACTTGGAACCAGGGAGTCTAGTCTGGAAAGTCCTAGAAAGCCTAGTCATTTTTGACCTAGGAGTCCCTGCAGGCCTTCCTGGGCACTACTCTTTGCTATAGATCATATTCCTTCAAAATTGGCCCAGGGATGAACTGGCTTTTTGTTAACACACATACAATTAAACCATCCTAGCATTATACTATCTTTTAAAATAAAAGGGAAAAAAAATTTTGTTTTAAAAAGGTAATGAATCGCCTATAATACTTGCCTCATATCCAAATGTGAGGGCCATAACAGTGATAAGAAAGCCAAAAAATGCTTCTAGCTTCCGCAAGCCTAAAGAGAAAAATGCAGCAGTGAGCTCACAGAAGGCAGACTTCCCCATCAGCCACAAGATGGAAAGTGGCTCCTTTGACTAATCCCTCCATTCCCACTCTCCTTACCATATTTGTCCAAAAAGAGAAATACAAAGGTATCTGCAATGGTGATGAGAACTCCACCCCAGAGAGGAACCCTAGGTCAGAGATGAGAAATGGAGATTAGGGGCTGGCCCAGTGGCACAGTGGTTAAATTTGCATGCTCTGCTATGGTGGCCCAGGGTTTGTGGGTTCAGATCCCAGGCATGGACCTACATACTACTCATCAAGCTATGCTGTGGCAGTGTCCCCCATACAAAACGGAGGCAGACTGGCACAGATGTTAGTTCAGGGACAATCTTCCTCACCCAAAAAAAATAATTAAAAAAAATTTTTTAATTTTAATTTTTTTTTTTTTCAAAAAGAGGGGGGCTAGCCCAGTGGCATAGCAGTTGAGTTCACACATTCTGCTTTGGTGGCCTGGGATTCACAGGTTTGGATCCTGGGCGCGGATCCACACACCACTCAAGCCACGCTGTGGTGGCATCCCACATAAAGTACAGGAAGATTGGCAGATGTTAGCTCAGCGACAATCTTCCTTGAGCAAAAAGAGGAAGATTGGCAACAGATGTTAGCTCAGGGCCAATCTTCCTCACAAACACACACAAAAAGAAATGGAAATTAAAGGAAAGAAAAACGCTGAGAAACACTCTTCCCAACAACTGTCCAGATATACAACACATGGAAAAGCAAGAACTTAAGAGAGAAGGGACAGTGACAGGAGGCCAGGCCTTCAGTAGTTTAGATCACACCATCAACTGAATTACATTCATTTAAACTTTGATTGTTCTAGTATGTCAGACATTTAGGATACAAAGCTGAAAAGTATGGTCTTACCCTTTAAGGAGCTCACCTTCTAGTGGGATAAACTGACGTACAAATAAATAATTGTAATACAAATGCCACACACTGTATAATAGAGGTATGTATAACCTGGCATAAGAACATAGAAGATATCGAGTCTACATCTGCCAGGGGAGAAGAAACTGGTTCCAGAAAGGTTCCACAAAAAAAAATAATACTTGAGTTGAATCTTAAAAATTGACAATGCGTTGGGTTTTTGTTTTTACATTTGCTTTGAAATCTAGCAAAATGCTGATTACTTTCTAGAGGAAAACCCCCTCACCTTCCCATAGACAAGAGATTGATGGCAATGGCTGAGCCAATAACTTCTTGCATATCTGAGCCAATGATAGCCAACTCCACCATCAGCCACAGGATAATTCGTGGGACCTAAATACCAAACAGCAGAAAGACACAATTCTAATTAATCATTTCTAAGATTTTCCTCCATAGTTTAGAATTCACACTTTGGCAATGACCCATAAACAGTTCTTTATAAGCATTCAGTCTAGAGATGAAGTACCAGAACTTTGCTCCACTTGGCCCATCATCGTATTGTAGCCGCTAGCTGGAAAAGGCAAAGGTGCTTCCACGTGGCAGAGCCTATGAGCCAAGGTCAGGGCAGCAGCTGATCCTAACTTTTTCTCTTTCCCTTCCACTCAAGAGAGGAGTGGAATTTCCATTCATTAATTTCCACTTAAAATTTCCTGTCTAAAAATAATTCTAAAAGTTTTAGGGGAAAATGAAGATACTAATATGGTCAAAATATTGTCCAGGAGAGAACAGAAAATGAGTGCAGAAGAAAATATCTATCCTGACCATAGCTGAAGGGACAAAACACATGTGAAAAGGCTAGTGCCATCCTTAATGTAATAATAATACAGAAGAAAGTGAAAAAGGATGGACATGCAAAACGGCTCTGGGAAAAGTGGTTGGAATTGGATGGTGTATAACAAAATAGGAAACTAATCTGGTCAAACAATCCAGCTGAAAGACAAATTTGGTTAATGCTGGCTCACTGAGGCCAGGAAAAGAAAACCACCTCCAGGTACCTACTATCCAAAAACTCTGTCACACAGAACAACTGTTAAGGTACATGAAGAAAGAGAAGCTAAAGAAATGATAAATTACCAAGGGTTTTTTTGAGAAGCATATATGAAAAAAATAAAGCAGATAAAGATACTTTCTCACAGCCAGGAAAGGAAACTAAACACTTAGGACAAATCAGAGGTAGATTAGTATATTATCTAGAAATGAAGCTAGGTTAAAGCTGTCTTCCAGACATAGGGTCCATTCCTGCCTTAGGTGGCCATAAGAAAGCCCGAAATGTCCAGAAGGAAGATCTAGAGGACAGCATAACCTCCAGGGTCAGGGTAAATTGAAAAATAATTAGTTGCAAATCCAAAGATCCTGCCACATATAGTTTGTAATAAAAGGAAAAAACTTACTTTTTTCAAATTGATGGCAAAGTCAAAAAAGTAAATATGTATAACGCCAAGTGATGGAGTAATATGGATGGATGTATGAATGAAAGTGCTTAGAGAGAGTAGGCCTCCCTCTCCATGGGCTGGGCACTGCTAGATGCCAGAAAACAAAGTGAATGATAAATTTTTACTCAAACAGCAATTTTCTAAGGAAACTTTGTGGGAAAAAGGTGAATCTCAAGTTAGATTTTGAAGGAGCCAAGAACCATAGCTTAGCAGCAAGAGAGGTTATAAAATCTCCCTTGGGACTGTCATGTTCTCCACCGTTTCAGTACAGTGGAGCCAGCACATATTGCCAGACACATAGATTCTTATGATGAGTAACAGACAGACAGTACATTACTCACCCTGGGATACTGACGATGACACACTTCAGCAAGATGCAGGCCAGTAACCACTCCCAGTCTAGCTGCAAGGCGCTGGAGCAGAAGCCCCACAATGGTGGCCAACAGAAGAATCCAGAGCAACTAAAGAACAAAATCCCACCATAACACTATTAAACAACTCGGGTTTTGAACAAAATCCCACCATAACACTATTAAACAACTGGGGTTTTTTTGTTTGGTTGTTTGGCAACATGAATGGGAAACACTACATTCAGGAAAGAGCCCAGGTCAGGAATCAAGTGACCCGAGATCTGTATCAGATTCTGCACACGACCTTCTCTGTCATCTTGTACCTTTCTGAGCCTTAGTTTCTCCCATCTGCAGGTTCCCCTTTGTTCATGGAAACTATGTGGATAAAATAAAATAAAAACCTGATGGGAAAGTACTTAAGTGTCACTGCCAATGAAGTATCTGCATATAGCCCCCAGGGTTGATGTCCAACAGGCAAGGTAGAAAAAAAGGATGTGAGGGTGTGTGTTGTGTGTATTTAAAAGGGACAGGGGTAGGACTAGATGTTCACCTTAAATCCAGCCACTGCTCCAGACTGCAAATCGGATTCGATGTTTCCTGGATCCAGGTAGGCAATGCTCATAAGAAAGCCTGGTCCCGTGAAAGCCCAGAGTTTACGAAAGCTAAAACAAGAGTACTATACAAGAGAAGAAAAGAAATCAAACTTTTTTTTTTTTTAAAGATTTTTTTTTTTATTTTTTTCCTTTTTCTCCCCAAAGCCCCTCTGGTACATAGTTGTATATTCTTTGTTATGGGTCCTTCTAGTTGTGGTATGTGGGACGCTGCCTCAGCGTGGTTCGATGAGCAGTGCCATGTCCGCGCCCAGGATTCGAACCAACGAAACACTGGGCCGCCTGCAGCGGAGCGCGCGAACTTAACCACTCGGCCACGGGGCCAGCCCCAGAAATCAAACTTTTTATCACCTCCAAACTACTCATCTAATTCACTACTAATCTGTTATTTTATCACATATAAAGCAACAATATCAGCTTCACAAGAACAAAGGATTTAGGATGTTGGATACTGTGTGTGTCCAAGTTTCCATCTTATCCAATTCTTATCAACGAGCTGGCCACTTTTCTATCCAAATAAGAGCCCTTCCCTTCCCTGCTCCTTCCATCAGCCTCTTATTCTAAAACCCAAGGAACAATATCAATACCTCTGTGACCAACCATTACCAAAATGGGACAAAAGCCACTGTAAAAATGGAACATGAAATTCATGCTTTCTTAATCAAAAAATAGTCACTAGTACAATTTGGCAACTGTTTTCAAGGCCCTCATTTTCCTCAACAGTTTGTATTTATTCTGATTACAAAACTTCAGTCTTCAGAGATTGCTTGCCAAAATTAGATCTAAGGCTGTTGATCTTGAGTTGTCCGGCAGACTTTTCACTCACAGGCTTTCCCTAAATAATAATATTCTCCTCCAAGAACCTGTCACTAACCTCCTCCTCAGGAATGGCGATTTTCTCATCAAAGTAGGTGGTGAAGGGTTCCTCTGAGTGCCCAGTAGACTGAGGAAGAGAGGAGTTACTATAGGCAGAGTTGATGGCACCAAGACTGGCAGAGTCCCCATGGTCTCCAGAAGCATCATCTGAATTAACAGATTTGAGAAGAAATTAATAAAAATGAACAAATACGCTAACTCTACCTTAGTAATACTGAAACTAAATCTTTTTAATACCTAAATGCACAAGACCAGCCTGACTCTAGCACAATTTATTTCCAATAGTTTATTTTTATTTATATTTTTAATAAATTAATTTTTGAACAGGCAATACATTCACATCATTGAAAATTCAAGAAGTACAAAAAGGCTTATGGTAAAAAAGCTCCCTCTCACCCATCTTCCACAGTCACTAAGCTCTAAATCAGTCTTAACACTAATCTCACAAATGGTTTTCCTACCTTCACACTTCTATTCCTATTGGCAATTTTCAGACCTATTTCACTTTCTTCTAAAAATACTGATGTCTAGGGCTCAAAATATAACATTCCCAGACTAGCCCCATTGGTACCTAAAATCGTAACTTTTAGAAGAAACTAACTAGATCAGTCTAGTGGAAGACATACACATACATACATACACACACACAAACACACACACAAACATCCCCATTATTGGGCAGGACTTACTCAAAGAATTATCCTTGGACATTATACCTCTGTCAGGCTTCTCAAAAAATGCGGAAGCTTCAAAATCCTCCCACAGCTCAAGCTAAAATCTGCAGCTGCAGGGAAACCACCACGCAAGAACCCTCTGCCTCCTGACTAAGGTCTGCAGTGAAGAGCCTCAGGTCACGGGGTGCTGGCACTCTCGTGACAGGAGGGCTCTTCTCAGAGGAGCATCAGTGTTCCCTCGAGATCTGCATTTTGCAGTTCATATTAAATGCAGGGAGGGGGAGGGCCTGGGAGAAAAGGGCTAATCTGCCAGAAAGATACAAAGCCCAGTGTGCTGTAGCCATCAAATGGCTATTTTGAACCACGAAACTCTAATCTCAGTGTTTCCAAGAAATCCCTGCAGCCTCCAATTAGCCAAACAAAAGCTTTCTTTCTACAGGGAGCTGACCCACTTCATCTTAAGTGGCCCTGAATTGATGAGGAAATTTACAGAAAAGGAATGGAAATTCTAAAGGGGAAATTTAGTATTAGGAACGATTAGTCAAAGCACTCAAGAAGTTCTAATCAAACACACAGTAGAAGGTGCTCACTCAGTATTTTACTGCTCCATACACATCTCAAGTGCCAGGAGCAGCCAAAGCACTCTGGACGTCTTTATGCCAGGTCTGCAAATAATACTGCCCCGCAAGCATTACTGCTATAGAAGCCAAACTTGTAGCTATTTTGGCTCATCTCAGAATTAGAAGTAAGATATGAGGCAGGTCTCTGTGCCTATAAACCCATTTTCAATTCACCAGATGGTGACTTCTGAATGGAGCAGGTCTCCATGATGATATTGTCGGCTGGGGTAGAAGAGATGGGGACAATTTTTGTTGGAATAGGGAAGCAGGAAAATAATGTAAATTTATATTATTGACTTAAGCCTAAAACCAAACAAAAATTAGACAATAACACAAAGCTGTAAATTACCATCTGGCATCTTCTGTTCAGGACCCAACACCATGGTGGATACCTGAGTGCCGGAGTTCTTAGAATAGGATTCTGGAAAGGAGAAAAAGGAGGGGGAGGAATTAGCAAAAACAAACAAGTTCAGAACCAGCATTTTGTTACTCTGTACAAATCAACATTTACTGGGTGAAAAAAGTAATTCTTCTACTGAATTAGATAACCTCGAAAATAATTAGTTATCAGAGTATGATTAAAATTTATTTAGTAAAAAATGTAAAAGTCTTAAACACATTTTTGCTAGGAAGACTTCAAAACCAAACTGAAGCAGAAGGTATTTTGGAGAAGTAGGCAAACACTTTTTTGTGTGTATATGTGGTGAGGAAGACTGGCCCTGAGCTAACATCTGTTGCCAATCTTCCTCTTTTTTTGCTTGAGGAAGATTGTCCCTGAGCTAACATCCATGCCAATCTTCCTCTATTTTGAATGTGGGATACTGCCACAACATGGCTTGATGAGTAGTCTGTATGTCTGCACCTGGGACCTGAGCCCACCAACCCTGGGCCACTGAAGCCGAGCGCGGGAACTTAAGCACTAAGCCACTGGGCCAGCCCCTTGGCAAATACTTCTTAAGGAACATCCACAGAGAGGTGCTAGGCAACCACGCAGTTTCTGCTTTTGCCTCCAGATTAACCCAAATATCTAAAACCACACTGATTTCGCCCCATTTTTACGAGTTTTTAAGGACAGCGATCTGTAACTCTCTTGATCTAACAATTTAAGTTAATGCTTCAATTTTCTGGGAAGGGGGAGAAAAGCACATCACCAGCATACTGGTAGTGGAGGACCACTATTCTCAGCCTCAAAGTTCCCTGAGAAGAGACCTCAGCTATAATGTTTCAGATCTCATTCCCCAACCCTTCAACAACTGGGAGAAGAAACTAATGACCATGGCCCTCCCCTCCTGGGCTCTCAAGGAGAGCTAAGGACCAACAGGACCAGGCATGGTCTGCAGGATGCCAGCAATTCTCTCCATCCTGCAATAAGCAACCTGTGGGGGATGGGGTGTCCCAGATGTCCAGCATCCTATTGGGTTAAGTTTAACTGGGGGGATGGGAGGATATTAGTAAGCCCATTTGGCCACAGATCTATGGCATATTCTCTAGTCAGCCCCACCAATAAGGGTGTTTTTTTTTTTATTTCAATTAAGTAATTAAAGAATCTACTTCCCAGTTGATTCCAAATTTAGAAGGGAAAAGACAAGGTAATATTTATTGTTACCCCCTCACACACTTAAATCTCAATAACAACTATCCTACTGAAAAAGTCATGAAGCCTTCCTTTAGCTTTCTTTTACTGCTTAGTCTTTTCCACTCTTGTCCCTTTTTTGCTTCTACTTTCTTTTTCAGATAATCTACTAACATATTCTATACCTATCTTATAAAATTACAGAGTTCAGCTCTGAAGGGGATTTTACGTTTCATCTGTCTTCTGGGGTGTAAATCATACCACCACTCGTTAATTTGGAAAACATAATCTTTCATCTCTATAGTCACCAATATCAACTATTTTCTTATAATGGACGACTAGCCACGTCCCTCCTATCAGATTTTGAGCCACCAGATGGCTAAACACCAGCCAACAGACCTCAATGACACTTTCTAAACCCAAACCCTCTTTCAGCCAGTTACAAGATCACCTCACCAAAATGGGATTTACATATCCGACCACACCGAGTATCAGTAGCCACTTGGATTCCAATCACAGCAGAGCTCCTTGGCCCCACCCAGAACGTTTTTACTTTTATTTTATATATAATTCTAAGAAGCCAGGTTATCAGGTTATCCTAACCCATACTAAATTAGAAACCACAAATCAGATCTGAGACTATGGCTCTTACAGGAAAAGGTCTTGAGCCATTTGGTATGAGCCAAAAAAGTCCTTGCTTATATTTCAATCAGCTCTGAGAACATTATTATTTAAAATATTACTATTAATATATTATTAATATTATATTATTATTATTAAGAACAACTCAAGTTTCTAATCATGGCCCTACTCACCAAGAACTGATTAAATTAGATTACTTTTGTAGTGATGGTTGATACCCTGTTTAAGAAGGCACAGAGGGGTTGGCCCCGTGGCTGAGTGGTTAAGTTCCTGTGCTCCGCTTCGGTGGCCCAGGGTTTCACTGGTTTGGATCCTGGGCGCCGACATGGCACTGCTCGTCAAGCCATGCTGAGGCGGCATCCCACATGCCACAGCCAGAAGGACCCACAACTAAAAATACACAACTATGTACCAGGGGGCTTTGGGGAGAAAAAGGAAAAATAAACTCTTTAAAAAAAAAAAAAAGAAGACACAGAAATGTTTAATACATTTGAAGACGACTCCTATCCAAAATAGGCTTTTAAGAGTTATATTTAAAAAAGAAACAATTGAGATAGCAGTGTTTTTCCAAGCCTGTAGTCTGCAAAAGTGACAGTCAAATAATTTTAGACAGAAATATTTCATGATGAAATTTTTTTTTTAAAGATTTTATTTTTTTCCTTTTTCTCCCCAAAGCCCCCCGGTACATAGTTGTATATTCTTCGTTGTGGGTCCTTCTAGTTGTGGCATGTGGGACGCTGCCTCAGCGTGGTTTGATGAGCAGTGCCATGTCCGCGCCCAGGATTCGAACCAACGAAACACTGGGCCGCCTGCAGCGGAGCGCACGAACTTAACCACTCGGCCACGGGGCCAGCCCTGTCATGATGAAATTTTTAATTATTATTAGTATTCTAAGTGATTATTCCTAGACTAATTACATACAGAGTGGATAAAATACAAGAAGTCTGGTCATCTCTCTGAAATCTCAGGAATGTATTATTCCAAGAGAGAAAATGGACTCTAGATTCCAACTTTCTCATCAAAACTTTGAGTCAGCACACCATAAGCTCCATTGTTTACAGTGTCCATAAAACATAACAGGACAGGGAACAGTGAGGGTCAGTTATGCTTTGTGAGCCGCACACTATTTAAGTCTCCATGACAACGTAACACCACATGGAAGCAGTAAGTTAATCTTAAGATGGGTTTTCTCTCTAGGATGGCACCACCAGGTCACTTCAGTCATTTAATTACATTAAGGAAAAGATGAGGTTGCGATACAAGCAACCAGAATCAACCCAGCAATATTTCGATAATTACGATTAATACTACTTTGATATTCTAGTTCACCTCTAACTATAAAGTGCCACCTTGTCTTAAAGCCAGTAAGTTTCCTATCAAACAGCAATCAACAACAGAAAAATGGCACTCATGGTTAAATTTAATATAACTATTTTTTCCCATTCCTTATCAAAAGTTGTAAGACTGTTTTACAAGATAAAAATGCTAATAAAGTTACATTTTCTGTGTAAAATAACAAAAGTCTACATATCCTTTGACTCAGCAATTCCACTTCTAAGAACGCATCCTAAAGAAACACTAAATATCCTAAAGGATATTTCCCATAGCATTGTTTGCACTATCAAAAGACTAAAAACAACCTAGATCTTAGCAGGGGACTGGTTAAATAAACTACGTACATTCATAGGATGGAATACCATGCAGCTATTATAAATAAGGCAGATCTACATGTATTGATAGGAAACAATCTCCAAGGTACATTTTTAAGTAGAAAATCCATCAGAGAACAGTGTGCTATCATTACATAGTAAAAAGGAGAATACACACATGTACATCTACAGACTATCTCCAAAGGACACGCCAAAAACTGGTAATGCTGTCCTTAAGAGGAAGAAGTGAGGGAGCACAAATGAGGTCAGGTGAAAGGAAGACCTCTCACTCAATATACAGTGTATTATCGTTTTGCACTTAAAATTTTCTTTTACTGTGTACATGTATTATTTACCTTTTAAAAATGGAAGGTCATATGGATTCATGCAGCTTCTCAACAAACACTTGAGGGATGTTCAGTTGAACTCTGATAAAAGCTCCTGTAATGGATAATCAGACAGCTGCAGCTGTCCAGCTGGCAGGCATATATTGCCTTAAGCTTAACTTACTACTACTTTGTCTTAGCGCCCAAATAGCCATGCTCTGAAATTATGATTCGGGAGTTTGACCTGAATTAGAAGCCACCTCCTCAGGAAAGCTTTTCTCGACTCCCCAATTTGGGTTAAATGGCCCTCCTTCATGTTCCCCCAAGGCACTTGCTGCTTACCACCATCATTACTCTTATCATGTTATCTTGAAATCATTTATTCCCTGATACTATCCTTGCAGCTTTTCTGTAAGTCTGAAAGCATATCAAAATAAAAAGTTATCCCCCAAAACACACACTAGCTATAATAAGTTCGGAACATCTAGTTAACAACTCCATGTTCTCTTAGCATTTACAAGAACTCTGGAAGAACAATTTGGATAGCCCAAACCTGTTTTAAAAATATGCCCCAAGAAAGTCTGAAATACTGAATATTAAAATACATATGACTTAAACTTTTTTCCCCTATGGTTTAAAAAATTTTTTCAATTTGAAATAATTTTTTTCTATAAAATTCCCCCGTAGAGTGCAAAGGCACTCACAATCATTTCACTGATTTTAGAGCTGTGTTCAAAAGGTCTCCCCAAAATTAACTGTAAGGTTTAAAGAGGAACGTTTTTGAACAGTCCTCTAATTCTTTCCCTCTTTTTTCCTCCCTGTCCCTATATAAATAAAATCAAAGACCACATTAAGTAGGAAAAGAACTTTCAGAGAGACAACCAGAAAACTGTTTGCATGGAAGAAACTGATTAAATGTGAGCAGGAATGTTTAAAGCTGACTGGCAAAGACACCTCTTCTCCCTCTTGAAGCTTCCCTCAGACAACGTTCAGCGCCAGCAACATGCTGGTAACAAAGTGGAAACTGCCAGATGCACAGACCAAGGCTTTAAATCCACTTTTTAAAGGGTATCACTTCATTTGTCCTAAAGAACCTGTAAAGATTTCCAGATCCCTCTAAAATTCCCTTTTCCCTAAAGGTCTACTTTAAGGCTAAAGTATTTGATACTCCTACTAAGCCATTACTATTAATCTAACAACTGTGTTGTACAAGATGCTCTTCATGAAGGTGAGCTCCTGCCCTGAGACAATTTGGAGTCAACAAAACTCTGAAATATTCAAGTGGTTCAAACAGGGCTAATTGTTTTCTGAACCCTATGTATTTTAATAAGGAAGATTACTAGCCACTTTTTTTTAAATGAGAGATTATTACTTCCTCTGTTTTTCCATTACAGGTCAATGAAAAAGCACCATCTTCTGAGTCTCTTCATCAAGGATATCCATCTAATTAGTTCCCAAACTCAATCTGCCCCAACTGGCAATGAGTGGAGAGAAACAGCTTAGAAAAGCCATGTGAATTCCTAAATTATTCTTGAGGATGTAAAGTTTGGAATTATTTTTTAAATTTGGATAAGTGTACCCTATTTTTCTCTTAAGAAAATGAATTTAATATAAAATTGATAAAATGAAAAGAAAAGACAGGTTGAAGACTGATTACATCTACTTCTGGACAGAAGGAACAGTGAAAAGCCCCTCTGGTGTTCGTTTAAAATAAAAGGCTTAAAAACTCTAATCTTCCCTGCCTAAGCAGGTAGTGTGAGAATGTCTTCAACTGAAAGCCAAACAAGCACGCCCAGTTCATAAAGTACGAACAGTACTGCTATTGTACAATGTGCTTAATACACATCAGGGCCTCTGCATGTGCATATGTCTCTCACTCTCTCACTCTGGCACAATGGCCATTGAGATACCAACTTAGACTGTTCTTTGTTTTACTGACTCTGGATGCCATAGTAATAATCTCAAAATCGGAGACATCTTACTTAGTCTCTCAGAGAACCACAATTTCAACTCAACATCAAGTTTCCTGTTTCTCACCTGAGTTGGACTTCTGAGAATCCGTTATAGTTGAAAGAAAAACCTAACATTGAGAACATCTAATGATAAAGAAAGAAGAAAAAGAGAAAATGTTAAGCAGCAAGAAGAGGAGAGAGGGAGTAAGATATGTGGTGGCAGAATACAGCCGATAATGAAACTGGCTGCCTGGGTGTCAAAGACGATAACAGCTGGGAGAAATGCGGCCAGGCTGTCAAGAAGGACTGATCTTTTAGACAAAAATATCAGTCATCAACCAGAGACTTCAGAATTAGAAGGGCCTGATACCTGTTAAATAGAACTCTTCATTTCCTCTGCTCAGTGCTCTAAGGCTTAACCAGCTTCCAAACCTCCTTGACTACTCGCTTACATATCAGGGTCACTAAAGTCTTACTCCTAGAGGCTATAGCTTGGTTTCGTTCCTCCCAACTCTCACAGAGTGAGCTTCCTCTGATTTCCTCCTAACCAGAAGTTTACAGCAGTGAGTTTCCCTTTAGGGGACCAACCTCAGCAGTGCATTTCCCTTTAGGGAACCAACCTGGCCCCTTGGCCTGACACCTCTGTCCTGGAACACAACTCCAAGCTCTACAAATAATTTCAAAGACCTCTTTATACTGAAATAAGAAGAGTCTATTAAATCAGTCTATACCCACTTCTTGACTCAGAAAAAATGTTTTGCCCTCATACTTGCTTGAGTCGCTTTTCTCTGGCAAATGCGAAGAATGATTATCATTAGGTTAAATTCAACTCATTTATTCCAATGCCAGATACCAGCACCCCTCCAGATGTAGACCGGGCTTAGCAATTTTAAGTACATATTTTTCTCAATGTTTCTTTTCTTAAAGCAAAGAAAAATTATACATAAAGACAGACACATACTACAAGATTCTCCAGCCTTCTACATGCCTCCTTCTGCTTTTTTGGAGCCTGTCAAAATTTTAATAATTAACTAGTAGCCTTCTCCTTTCATTACCTAGGAGTTTTCACAGATACTTGATTATCAGTGATAAATGGGACCAAAGCAAATAAAAATAACCCATACAAAGGGCCAGCCTCAGTGGCCTGGTAGTTAAGTTTGGCATGCTCCACTTTGGCAGCCTGGGTTCAGTTCCAGGGCAAGGACCCACACCACTCGTCTATCAATGGCCATGCTTTAACAGAGGCTCACACTCAAAACAGAGGAATACTGGCAACAGATGTTAGCTCAGGGAGAATCTTCCTCAGCAAAGAAATAAATAAAATCACCCATACAAGTTGACCTACTAGCAATAAGCACTAAGACTGAGAACCCTAATTTCCTAATTTAAGTTTTTACTGGAAACTTTGGTTCTTATACTAAAAAAGGGTAAATTAAATTAAAAGGAGAAAGGAATTGGACAATAAATATATTTTCATCATTCTTGGCCAATTTTTATATTCCATTCTGATTTTATTAAAATATAGTTTATAATACATACATGTTTTATTTTATCCATGATATTCCTGATGATACCTGGAGGGCTCTTCTTTTTATGTCTCCGGGGGCCAACAAATGTTAATTGTTCAATATATGTTTGTTAAATTATCAAAAGAATAAATGGCATCCAATGAGTGAGACAAGGGTTTAGGTCTACTAACTGCTTATATTCTGCACATTCAAATGCTCCCTGCCTTCTTTTTCAAAATATTTTATTCAAATCACAGAGACTCAAATAATAAAGATGACAAAAATATTAGGGCAAAAGGCTTCCCTTTCTGCATCAAACATTCAACCTTTTAAAGACATCACTCCCTTTCCTCCTTATTCAAGCGCAAATACAGAGGTTTCACAAAGACACTGTCCTCCACTCTCACCAAGCCAACATCCATCTTTCAATCCTATAGAAGTACTACATTGTCTTATTCCAAAGTTAAATAACTAAACTTATACCATCTGTACCACAGCCAAATTGTGCCAGCGTACTGCTGCATAGGCAACGTTCTTCAAAGTTTCTCATTTTGTGATTAGTTCCCAAAAATGCTATGTATACAAATAGCAGATTCCTTGGAAGGGGAGAATTGGAAAACAAAAGTCTTCCATTAGAACCTTCCAGACAGCACAAAGAGAACTTGAGAGGGACTTTTAAGCTCACAGAAGGGGCATAAACCAGTCATTTGTATTGATATACATAGTGAGGAGGCAGGGAATAAAGATGTCTTTGACTCCACAGCACCCACTCAAGTTCTAAGCACAAAAAGTCAAACAGGAAAGATGCTACTTTGTGGATACCATTCTCTAACCTCTAACCTTCACTGAGTCAAAACTGAACCACAGCTGCCTGCTTAGCAGCTCTGCAGAGCAATCCAAGGAACCACTGCTGATTTCCTAACAGCAGAATAAGATTAGATTAGTACCAAGCTTCCTCATTCATTAACAAGAAATGCTGCCAGGCTGCCCAGAAATTCCCCTCCCAAGTCCCACAGCCATTCCGGAAACATGAAAAACCAAGTATGCTGCAATCATGGCCTTTTTGGTATGGGGTCCAAAATAAACTGTGCCTGGGCCAGGACCGTAAATGAAATATTATCCAGTGAAAAACTAAATATCCAAAGAAGTTCTCAAGTTTCATTTATCAAAGACAGATCAAGTGGGGCCAGCCCAGTGGCACAGAGGTTAAGTTCCCACCTTCCACTTTGGCGGCCCGGGGTTTGGTGACCCGGATCCCGGGTGTGGACCTACACACTGTTTGTCAAGCCATGCTGTGGCAGGCGTCCCACATATAAAGTAGAGAAAGATGGGCACAGATGTTAGCTCAGGGCCAGTCTTCTTCAGCAAAAAGAGTAGGATTGGTGGCAGATGTTAGCTCAGGGCTAATCTTCCTCAAAAAAAAGACCACGTACAATGATCATTTCCAACCTTATTTAATGATAAAATAAACACCCAGCAGAAAGCCTCTAGTCACACATAATTATACTATACCCTCAGATCAAGGTTTAATGACATGGATGAAAACTATGGGCCTAAGGGTTCATTAACAACAGGCTCATAGGATTCTGAGCAAAGGATAAGTAATAAGGTCAGAATTCTTTAATTTGGAATCTTCAAAGGGAAAGAAGGCATATGCAGGTAATAATAAAAACTTCTACATGCCAGGAACTGTTCTAAGCACTTTATATATATTAGCTCATTTCATACTCACCAACAACTCTATAAGATTGATATTATCATCAGTCCCCATTTAAGTATGTAGAAGCAAAAACAGAAGCCAAGCAAATTGCTCAAAGGTTTACACAAGCCAAGAAGTCGTGCAAATGGTTGGGCTTCAGATACCACAGGAGTCAACATAAACATAGCAACCCCTGGTTTCACCAACATGCACTAAAATTATGGCCAGCAAAAGTTTCTGGAAACCTATTCCGCTTGCCTCTCCTTCCACATAATTTCTGCTTTTGCTTTCCCCTTTAAAGAGATGTCACATTCCTTTAACTTCCTAACACTCCTTTGGAAGCAGTGGACAATATGAGGGTATCTTCATCTCAGGAAGGAAAACACAAGCCCAGGTTCCCCAACGTCTCCTCTAATGACGCCCTTGGAAACAGTCACATGAGGTAGGGTATTTGGGAAAACTGAAAGTGAAAAGGAATCCAAAGGCGGGATATCGAAAAGTAAGCGACAACTTTAAAAGAAAGGACACAGGAAAGCGAGCAGCCGGAGAGCGTCCACCCCGCTCACATACCGTGTGCCATAACGGCCCGACCGACGTGCCCCGGGCCGGCCAGCTGCACAAAAAACCGTAAAACCAACCCACACGCAAGCACTCGGCCGCCCGCCCGGCCCTTCACCAGAAGGCGCCCCATGGACGTCGGCTGCCCTAAAAGGCGTTTTTCCGCTGAAGTGAGGCAGCGGGAGGCCCAGGGGCCGGACGGGGCCAGGCGCTCGGCAGGTACGAAGGCGGCAGCGGGAAACTTGCCACTTGCCCGTCGGCCTCCGCCGCGGGTCCAGCAGGGGGTTCAGCCATTTCTCCGAGGCCGCGGCAGGGAAGGGGCCAGGTCCCTGCGACCTCTGGCCTTCACCGCCACCCCCGGAGCCTGACTCTCGGGCTTCCTTCGAACAATGCGGCTCCATCTGGACCCCGCGCCTGAGGCCTTCCCTGTCCGCACCGCCCCTCGCAGCCCCGCACGGCCCTCCGTGCCCCACACTGGCCCCGGAGCCTGCTCCCAGGCCCGCCCCCGAGCCACCCTGCGTCCTCCCCACCCGCCCGGGGTGAGCTGAGCGCCCGCGTGACCCCTGACCTCGTCTGCCCCTCACCTTACCCGCTCCGCCACCACCTGACAGGCTGCCCCCACGCCAGCGGCTCCATAGCCCTGGAGCCAGCGCCAAGCCGGCCAACCCCCAAAACGCCCCGCGATTGGCCGACAGGACTGCAGCCGCACATTCCTATTGGCTGGATTCCCCGTATTCCCGAGGCGGCCGGCGCGCGTGGCCAGCTGACAGCGTGGCCCGAGGCTCCGCCCACCCCGAGGTCAGCCAGGAGGCGGGGCCCCGGCGGCCCCTGCGGGACCTGCGTACTGAAGGTGCGGGCTTGTGCTGGTCCAACCCACAGAGCGTGGCTTTGGAGGCTCCCGCTCGGGCAGCCCGGGAACAGATAAATTTCCTGTCTAGTCCGTCAGGTACTGGCAGTTAAACCCCTTTTTTCTGGAGACCTGGCTTTCCGAGGTACAGCTCCACCTTATAAAGCATAGCCACCTGGCAGGACCATTTCTTCTGTCCCCCAGAGCCACATCATAATATCTGCTGCCCCACCAAGAGCGTCCCACACCTGGGAGGAACGCCGCGAAACACCAGCTAGTGCAGCCAGTTCGACCGCCTCGGATGCCCTGCTCCCAAGCCTCAGTAATGAATGGTTTCCCCCATCCTACACAGCTGCCTCGCTTCTTCCCAGAGCTTTATCTCCACCTGCCCATAAGCAACCCCACTCCATCCCCAGCCTAACCTCACACCCCAATCTTTCTCTGAAGATGACGGCCAGACTAGTGGTGCTTTAGAGGGGAGAAAATAAATGGTCAAACTGCCCTAATTTTCTGGAGTGTCATTTAGCGCAACCAGAAACATTCTTAGACCCCCCTACCGCTTACATTAAAGATAATGAAGCTTATCTACCAAATCTTAGGCCTAGAAAGGAAAAGCATAAACCCCTCCAACTTCTTTCTTCAAGTAAAAACTGCTAGGAGAAAATTTTATTAGTTGGGAAAAGAGTCCAAGAGAGGAGAAAAGCAGAGTGAACTGCAAAAAGGAAAATCCAAATAAAGTACAAAATAAAAACAGACTCAGGGACCAAAAAAACTGGGCCGGGCATCATCAGTTATCTGGTACAGGCTGGTTTCTATAGACAATTTCTCCTGGAGAGAAAAGAAAATGTACAAGTTAGTTCTGAGAATCTCTATAACACATCCGGGGAGTTTCAGAAAGGCTTGATGAAGTCCCTCCAGACCAGAAGCTTTCCTTTGGAAACCTCTGCTGCAACTAGAAAACAAAAGGGCTGGAGCCATTCCTGTGGCCCTTCCAGGTCTGCTCAGCTGGGCAACTTCTCTGAGCTGTTGCTAACTTGCCGGCTACTTACTTAGCTCACAGTGTGGAGCTGCCTCTGTCTTAAGCTGCTTCTTCATCTTGCAGAATGGTTTGACTTTTCCCAATGCCGGCTCTTGTCTCTATATATGCAGACAAGTGCGCCTCCCTTGGTTAGATAAGGACACTTTAAATTCCTCTGGATAAGACATTGGTAACGACGCAGCAGGGAATTTCAAAAGGCAAAACCACACCCTTCAAAGCATAATCAAATTTCATCTTTGACCTGCCACGAAAAGGGAAGCATCGTATATCTGCCACTCCTGGATATTAATGAACAGTTGAGTTTGAAAACGTTTGTTCTCAGATTTCATCTGTGTCCCTTTTGGCAGGAGCTGGAGGCTGGCCTGTGACTGCCAGTGGATGAAAGGGGTAGAGTAAAAGCAATTGCTTTTCTTCAGGAAGCCACTCCTGTTGGAGTGAAACCGGTTCGGGCACTTGTACCAGGGCTGCTTGTGCACTAGGACTCTGCTCCCCTGAGACGTGAGCCGAAACCAATTAACCCCAAGCCTGACAGTCCACAATTATTTTCCAGATAGGTACGTGCAGCACCAATGCAATTATGAGGAGTCTCAGAGTATGATTGAAAGTGCCGCCTGGTCTGTCCTTTGGGATCGGAAGGACCCGCTGGCATCAGCCTGGTCAATCAGTGATTCACAGGCAGACAACAAAGCCATGCAAACCCAGGACTCAGTGCCTGATGGAAAAGACAACAACAACAAAAAAGACCAAAAAACACCCTGAGACTATAAACAGTCCAGAGCAAGCCCAGAATTTCTCAATCTGGCCGAGTGGAAATGAAAGAATGGGGGAATTTGCCTCAGGCAAATAGTTTAGTAGACCAGCTGGAGGCAAAGCCAGGAAAGGAGAGGCGTTGGGGTGGGGTGAGGAGAATGGGGTAGGACACTGGAAGGAAGAAGTTGCTGGCTTCAGGAAATTTACTGGTAGTTTTAAAGAAAATCTGCTTAGTACCATAAAAACATATGCAAATCAGTGTGACAGATAAATACCTTAGAATGGAAAAGTAAGAAAAGCAGTAATCAATTCATATGAGTCAAAGTAGGCTTCTAGCAAGGGACTCTGGCTCCTACATACACAGGCAGTAGCAGGAACTGTGGATCTTTTGCCCTGGACCCCACATGAAGATCCCTCAAGCACTAAAAGTCATATGGTTACAACCTGATCTCTCTCCTTGTCCTTGGTCTACATCAGTCAAGTTCCCTAAGGCAAAGCTGCCTTAGATCCGGTTGGGTGCCAATTTGTTCTCCCTCAAGGGAAAATAGAAGTACATATGAAGTCATCCATGACTTAAAGTTTTGGAGGAAAAAGCCCTATTTTAGTTTAGGAATTCCAAAAATAGGAATGGATTTTACAATGAGACTCTACCATAATCCCACTGTTTCTTTTACTCAGCAATTTCTCCCAATATACACACCCCCCTCTTGCCTTCTAGGTCCCCAGTTCTCACTTATAGTAACTGACAACTTTAGTCTAATTCTTATTGTGTGTCAAACACTGTATTTAACACATCACAAACATGAATTAATCCTCACAGTAAATTTGTGAGACAGGAAATTAGGAACCTAATTTTGCAGATTAGGAACCTGAGTCTTAGGGAGGTTAAGTAGACCCAGGCTTTGAACACAAACCTGTTAGATCCAAGAACTAGCACTCAGCTACCATCCCGTACTGCCTCCATGTTGTACACCTAAACCAATTCCCTTCCATTCAAATCTAGCTTGAAAATGATCTCTTTCATAAAATCCTATTGATGTAAATGTACTGAACATTCCACGTTACCACAATAGCCAACTCATTTCTGAATAGATGTTAATGCATATCTGTACCATGTATGCCGTTTATTTAACTAGGAGGCTTTTCCTTCCATGCTTTCCTTCTGTCCACTATTCAAGTATTCTTTTTAAATTTTTTTTTTTTTTTTTTGAGGAAGATTAGCCCTGACCTAACTACTGCCAGTCCTCCTCTTTTTGCTGAGGAAGACTGGCCCTGAGCTCACATCCAGGCCCATCTTCCTCTACTTTATACATGGGACTTCTACCACAGCATGGCTTTTGCCAAGTGGTGCCATGTCCGCACCCGGGATACAAACCGGCAAACCCCGGGCTGCCGAGAAGCAGAAGGTGTGAACTTAACCTCTGCACCACCGGCCCGGCCCCTCTTCAAGTATTCTTTTTCGTGCTTTTGTTTTTTCTGAAACAAGTGCCTGGAATTAAGTCCTCCCACCCCTCCTCTTCCTTACCTGGGAAACGCTTCATTTTTATTATTATTGTTCAAGTTTCCCTTAAAATATCCCCTTCTGTGATGCATTCCATGACGCCTCCAGGCAGCATTAGCCCTACATTCTAGGGCTACCCAAGCACTTATTACTGTGCTCTAGCACTAACTCAGCCTGCATATATTTATTGAAAACCTGCTACATACCAGGCACAGGCTGGGTGATACAGATACAAACACAAATAAAATAATGCTTTCTTCTCCCACTAAATTCTGAGTTTCGCCATAGGGGAGATTATCTTATCTTTGTACACCTGGTGTTAACAAAGGGCAGCTATATAGGAGGTGTTCCATAAATGTATTGTCCCATTTTTTAATATGTCATCGTTGTCAGGCAATAAAGAATAATAATTAGGATATGTCTGTTTTTATTTATGTATCTCTTTCCAAAGTTGAGTCTTATCTATCCTAAAAATATTCCTCCCCTGACTCTGCTAGCTTTGTAAGCTATTCCTGTGATAAATGCTGGAATGCACAGGCAGGACCCCCTTTGAGAAAGAAGGGCTTATTACCCCCACTGTTTGTAGTGTGAATGCTGCTGGCAGATGGCCCTCTGCTGTCATGTCAGGCCCTTTTCTCAGGCAACCCACATCAAATGACCGATCTATGTAGGAACATGAAGATTCATCTCACTCACAGAATGCAGGGACAACTTTGAAGGTTGGCTGAACCTTTGTCCTGCATCACAGCTTGATTTCTGCACAGACTGGCTTCCTTAGTGTTGATCCCAAGATCACTTCCTAATAAACCTACGGCCTCCATCTCAGAGTCAGCTTCCCTTCTTACTTCTTCCCGTAACCGAAAATCAGTGTTTCTGAAAAAGTGATCTGCACTCACTCCACCTCCTTAACACTCATTTCTTTTTCCACCCTTTGTTATCCACCCTAGGAATTACTTTCTTGTTAGCTAAATG